AACAGGTGCAGGCAGTGCTTGTTTCTTTTCAAAACAATGCCATAGATGAACTAGCTGCATCTGCCGATCGAATCTTGGAAATCACTAGATCTTCTAAGGTCGAGATTTTTCCGTCAAAGAAAAACCCCAATCGACCTCGACTGACATGGCCGAACTATGTCACACGCTTACACGATATCTTAGAGTTCGCAATGACCGTAGTCGGTCAAAAACCCCGCATAGAAGCGCCTCACGTAAGCGATCTGGCTCTCGACCACGAGAGACAGACAATCCCGACTGGTGCTGGTATCATAACCAGTGCGGTAAGTTTTCCAGAAATTGCAGGAAACCTTGCAATTATCCGACTTCAAAATCGACTGACACAAATAAGATTTCGGGAAACTCCTCAGCCGGCACGCGTTAACGGCAACCGTAGCCGGCGAACACAGCCGTCTGTTATACGTCACGGATGTGACCACGAACGTTCGCTACCTCGTCGACACTGGCGCAGAAGTTAGCGTTCTTCCAGCAAATCTCGACGACAGACTTCGGGAGTCTGTTTTAAGTTTACAGGCGGCAAACGGAAAGCCAATCGCTACTTACGGTAAAAGGTACGTCTACCTTAACGTGGGTTTACGCAAACCCATACACTGGATTTTCGTGGTTGCAGATGTCTCTATGCCAATCATTGGTATAGACCTGTTACAACACCACAATCTACTCATCGACACACGCTCACGAAAGTTAATAGACGGAAACACTAAGTTATCTGTTAGCGTAACTCCTTGTTCTGGTTGCAGGTTATCCCCAGTCACGATTAAACACACCATAGACCCCTTGTACCAATCAGTACTCGACAAATACCCCGGGATATACCAATCGCAATCGAAATTGCCTTGTGTAACCAGCAATGTTACACATCACATCACGACTACAGGACCACCTGTATTTTCGAAAGCTCGAAGACTCGCTCCCGAGAAGCTTAAGTTAGCTAAAAACGAATTCGACCACATGATGGACCTAGGGATAATTCGACCATCGAATAGTCCATGGGCGTACCCATTGCACATGGTCCCTAAAAAGGACAGCAATGATTGGCGGCCAACTGGTGACTATCGGCGTCTGAATGCTAAAACCATTCCCGATCGTTACCCGCTGCCTCATATTCACGATTTGACAGCTACCTTGAAAGGTACAACTGTCTTTTCGAAAATCGACTTGGTTAAGGCGTATAACCAAATACCGATGGCACCTGACGACGTTTCTAAAACCGCCATCATCACTCCTTTCGGTCTTTACGAATTTCTACGAATGCCTTTTGGTATAAGAAACGCGGCTCAAACCTTCCAAAGGTTTATAGACGACGTCTTTCGAGGTCTCAACTTCGTACATGCGTATGTTGATGACTGTCTAATAGCAAGTCCGGACAGAGAATTACATCTCAAGCATCTGGACATTGTTTTCGATGGACTCCAACGGCATGGCATTACTGTCAACATTCAGAAATGCCAAATCGGGACTAACTGCTTAGACTTCTTAGGACACACTATTGATGCCCAAGGCATCCGACCCCTTAGGAGCAAAGTGGCGGCCATTCTGGATTACCCAGAACCGACCACGATCAAGCACTTACGAACTTTCAACGGACTCTTGAGTTTCTATAGACGGTTCATACCCAAGTGCGCATCCCTAATGAAACCGTTAACCGATCAGCTTCGTGGAAATGCGAAATCACTTAGTTTAGACGACATAGCCCGTAAAGCATTTTCCACAGTTAAGGAACACATCGCTAAAGCAACCTTGCTTGCTCATCAGGACACTCAAGCGCCCATTAGTATCGCAGTAGAGGCATCCGACTCAGCAATCGGAGCAGTCTTACAACAATGGGTTAACAACTCTTGGCAACCTTTAGGATTTTTCTCGAGACGGTTGCTAGACGCGGAATCTAGGTACAGCACGTTCGGTAGGGAACTCCTAGCTATGTATTGTGCTGTACGGCATTTCCAACATTCCATCGAAGGAAGAGAATTCACACTTTTTACCGATCACAAACCTCTTACCTTCTCTTTAAATTCATCTTCAGACAAGTACTCACCACGAGAGTCTCGACAACTCGACTACATTTCGCGGTTTACTTCAGACATACAACACATTTCTGGAGCTAACAATGTAGTCGCAGACGCCTTGTCTCGAATAAATTCCTTGAACAGTTTCCAAGGAATCGACCTTCTTAAACTCGCTCAGCTTCAAAAAGAAGACATTGATCTTCAGCATGAGTTATCCTCGACAACTCTTAAACTAAGTATTAGGCAGATTGGAACAGGTAAGGAAACCTTACTCTGTGACACATCTACAGGTAGGGATCGTCCAATTGTACCAAAACATTATCGACGCAACGTCTTCAATACGTTGCACAATCTTTCTCATCCAGGTGCTCGTGCAACAATCGAACTTATAGCCGAACGCTTTTGTTGGCCTGGCATGAATAAAGACGTGAGGGAGTGGGCACGCTCCTGTGTAAGCTGTCAGAAATCTAAGGTAATGAGACACAACAAATGTCCCTTAGGCTCTTTCGAAACCCCTGACGCTCGTTTCGACCACGTCCATATAGATTTAGTAGGACCCTTACCCGACTCGAACGGATACTCATATCTCCTAACATGCGTAGACCGTTTCACTCGATGGCCAGAAGCAGTACCGATTAAGGACATTACTGCTGAAACCGTGGCCCGTGCTTTCGTCAAACGATGGGTAGCAAATTTCGGATGCCCTTCCACAATCACTACAGACCGCGGACGCCAATTCGAATCTGGACTTTTCCGTTGTCTGACCTCACTATTAGGAATCACGCGTTTCCGAACGACCGCCTACCACCCACAAGCAAACGGGATGGTAGAGCGTTTTCATCGACAACTAAAAGCTTCATTATCAGCTTCAAACGTTTCACAGTGGACAGACGCTCTTCCACTCGTCTTGCTAGGTATCCGCAATGCAGTGAAAGCTGACATTGGATACACGGCATCTCAACTCGTTTACGGAACGACACTCCGACTCCCAGGAGAATTCGTGGATCCTTCAGCTTCTTCATTGAACATGGATCTAAACTCTTACACGAGTAGGCTTACAAACGCTATGCGTTCAGTTAAACCTGCTCACACTCGACCTCAATCAACTGATGTTTTCGTTCAACCCGAATTACGACATAGTACACACGTTTTCGTTCGTCGAAACTCACATCGACGACCCCTCGAATCAGCATACGAAGGACCCTTCGAAGTTCTTCAACGCGAACCTAAGTACTATGTAGTCGATAAGAACGGTACGAAAGATAGCATCAGTATCGATCGACTCAAAGCTGCGTACCTAGAAGGAAACCCTAGCTACGTCGATTTTCCTTCGGTACAAGCAAACGACACAGCTACTACACTCGTAGTACCCTACACGACAACCGACACACAACTTGATACTTCGTCAACGTCGATAGAAAAACCTAAAACAACGCGTTCTGGAAGACGAGTAAGATTTCCAGAACATCTTAACGAATATTGCACGTAGGACATAAGCTTTATCTTGAATTACCCTTCCATAGTTCATTATAAAAATTTTTAATATGCTCATTTTTTTATTTATATAAAAAAACCAAAAAAAACAAAACATTTTTATTTTTTTTGAGCGTATGTATATATATATATTATATATAAAAAAACACAAAAAAAACACTTTTTTCCTGATCGCTTTTACGCTGTTGGTAAGTGTAGAAGTTTATTTTTTCCCGCTCATCTTGTGTCCCTACGCAAGTACGAGTGTATTTCCGACATGCACTCACACGTTTTATTTTTCCTCTTTTCCAGGACGGCTGGAAAAGAACGACGAAGTTTCGCAAGGAACCGAAATTTTCATTGTACTATATTTCTTTATTGCTATGTTGTACATTTTGGTCCCTTAGCTTAAGGAAAGACGACCAGAGGCTGCTAAACGAAACAAGCTATCAGAAGAGTGTTTACCAACGACAAACTCGTTGGGTTTAAACTTCTGGCTGGTCACGTCTTAGGGGCATCACTACCTCACTAAGGGGGAGTGATCTGTAGCTGTAAATAATTCCCCAAAATCAATAGTTCATTAAGTGTTCGACATTGGATGCTGACCACGTGTTTAAGTGGACTTGTTTAGCTGAAGGCTTTCGGTCATGCATCCGCACCAGATCACGTTTCAACACGGCGTGGGACACAGCTCCTACGTTTCATTAGCCAGTTCATAGAAAAGGTCCTCGATATATTGTCAACGAATCAAGTATATCTTTCCTGCCTCTTCTCGTCTGACTTCTGATTTCTATCTGACTGGGAACAATCGAATTTAGAAGGTGCTACTGGTATCTAGTTGTAAAACTAGAACATCCGTTGCATTATCAGCGTTCTCATTTGTGATCTGGTATGGCGGAGCGCCTTCAGCAAGGTGAGTGCTTTAGAACTAAGGTGGTCAGCATGCAATGCCAAAGACTTACATAATTATTGATTTTGGAGATTTATTTACCGCTACAAACACATTTGGGTTGGAGATGAAGTAATATATTTAATGTGAATGGTAATACGTTACACATAATGAACACGTCTGCAAGGTTGAGCCCTGCCATCCGAATGAATAAATCTTTTTGTGTCCAACATAGCTGACCTTCTCTTAGTGTTACATTATGAAAGTGAATTGTCTTAGAAATTATGTGTTCAGCTTCGAAGACCGTGTGGTTAGGATCCGATACCACTACAGATCTGTACTACAAGACGTGGGATGCCTCAAGCAAAAACGACTTGTGTTACAATCACAATGATTTTACTCATTTAGGATAATTAGATAGTTTAGATATACCTGTTATCAAAAGCGAGAATCTCGCCAACACAGGTATGTAAATAATACGATCCCTTAAATTTATTTTTATCAGTGAGATGCAAAACTAAAAAGTTCTTAGTTTTTTACAAAATAAATTCTATTAAAAACAATCGCTCAACTTCCAGTTTGTTTATGTGACTAGAAACATGGAAACACGAGAGTTTATATAGCGCACACTCTAAATGATAATGGAGAATAATGAAAAAATAAAGGAAGTAAGTATGATCTATAGCTAGGCACAGTTATTTTGTTGTTGTTTGGAAAGTTGGTTGATGAATTTTTTCAGAATAATTTATAGTTATACACTCATACTTAACTTTGAAAATATAAAATCGTCCAACGTACTTCGGAATGCCAAAAACATATCAGGGAATATTTTAATCACTTTGATAGCTGTTTTTGGGAAAGCGCAAAGCTGTTAAAAGCTTTAATGTGCATATTTGTACGACTTTTTACTCTGCAATTTCAATAAAGATAGCAACTTACGTCACTGAACGACTTTTTTTCTGTCTCTATAAGCTGGTATTATTCATAGCTTCTTAGTGTTTAAATGATAAATGATAATGTGGGAAATCTTCAAATGCTTTTTACATGTAGAAGAGGTAATTCTAATATGATGATAATGATCTCAATTTTTAGGAAGCAGCATACATACAACTTAGTAATTTATGCTGTTAGTTATTATTGCAGTTAAATCTATTTGATGTAGTCAGTTGCAAATTCGCATTTAATTATTGACTAATTCACATAAACGACACACTAGTTCACTTTATTCAGAGATGTCTGTTGGCCAGATAAATAACTCATTTGTAATTCAATTTATTTTGACATAGTTTTGTTATAGGTGTTAAAATTTGTAGTTGTATCTGCCGTAGAATTTTTTCGCGGCATGTATTAGTTGTTATCTGTAGTGATGTTTTTTTCACGTCGAGAAGTATCAGCCCCTGCTTATTCATACAGGGGCAAACAATCAATTGTGTCCGCAGTTATGCAAAGTAGCCATCCCGATATTTTGTTCATATACAACAATAACAAATAGCTGATCTGGCGTCTCTTCAAAAATGTCATCTCGTCATCTAAAAAGCCATACAAGAAACCAAACTATCAGTTAGTACATCAATGAGTCAAGTGAACAGTTGTTCAGACTTTATTTCTTCAAATAGTTGGTTAACCAAAGTATAGGATTGCCTAAGGTGCAATGAAACTCACTTAAAATATGATGTACTGACTCGATAAATAATTTTTATGTTGGCGCTTTTCATCCAAGACTTAGTAATGACAAACAAAGATCAGTTCGGTTCTCGGCAATATCGGTTCGGATATACAAAATAACTTGTTGAGTAGTTTATTTTGTGGTTCGTAGAGAAGTGTTAGATTGTTTAATCCTGCCTATCCTCGCAAGCTGTTTATAAACCGCTATAGACAGTCAATCATCGATGATTAATTCCAATAGACGGTTTGGTGTTAATTTTGAAAGTGAGTACTGCTCATAGCTATTGGTACTAGATAGGTTAAAAATAATACTAAGGCCAACAAAATTACAAAGAGTGTTTTTATATTGATCATATTCTTTTTATTTCGTGTTCGTAAGTGACATTCATCATGTTTCTTATTGAAATCTAGTGCACTGTTTAGTTCATTTATGGAGAACAAATGTGGTTTATATTCCCGTCTTTTAAAAGCCTGTTGTTCTCTAAACATATGCGTATGCTCGTACGATGGCATGTCATAGCACTTTTCGTTTAGACTTAGTGTTCTTAGGTCTAGACTTTCCCTTTTATTTACTAGTTCTACAGATGACACTACGACAAAACTTCTGTTATAGGAATTGAAGCGTTTTTTGAAAGGAGGGAACCACAATGAATGTTATTCAATGTTACGCACTCACCAATGATAGCATTGAGGACAAAAAGATCAGTCTCACGAGAGGTTGCAATCGATCATAGTGAAGTGCTCAAGAAAGGAACTGACCATCCTGATGGGCGATCTAAACGCCAAAGTCGGAATGGAAAACACTGGATATGAAGATATCATGGGACGACATCGAGTGACTGGGATAAAGGAACGAGAATGGTGGCGGATTTATAAATTAATGTACATTCAACAAATTCATTATAGGCGGGATAATATTCCCACACAAATGCATACACAAAGCTACATGGGTTTCATCGGATCACAATACACAGAACAAGATCTATCATATTTGCATCACTAAAAATTCAGAAGGTCAGCGGAAGACGTATGAACCAGAAAAGGAGCTGACATAGTTTGAGGTCACCATCAGCTGATGGTTGCCAGGACAAAGCTGAAGCTAAAGAAACAATGGACAACTGGAGAAATGGCATTACAGCAGTTTGACACTGACAAACTCAACGAATTCTATTACTTTACTATGAGAGAGCAATTGACAGCGTGAACAAGAGAACCTTATTTAACTTCCTTTGACACTATGGTGTGAATAGCTGTGAAGATCATCAATATCATACGGAATTCATGCGACGGACTGCACTTCGAGGTGATGCATGGAGGACCGATGACAGACTCATTTCAAGCGGGTCACACAAGGCAGCTTACTCTCCCACTTTCTCTTCTTTTTTGTGGTCGACTGGATTATGAAGACCTCCACACGTGACGGGAGGCATGGAATGCAATGTGCAGCTTGGATTAAACCAGACAACTTGGACTTCACAGATAACCTGGCTCTCGTACCCCACGCACATGAGCAAATACAGATGAAGACAACTAGTGTAGCGCCAGCTTGTGCACCAGTAGGCCTCAACATACACGATAGAAAAATCAATATCCTGAAATGCAACACTGAGAACACCAACCCAATCACATTTGATGGAGAACTTCTGGAAGAGGTGGAAAGTTTAACATCCCCGGACAGCAACATCGATGAATGTGGATGATCTGATATAAATGTAAAGGTGAAGATTGGCAAAGTAGGAACAACATTCCTACAGTCGACGAACATATGGAACTAAAACAACTGTCTGCAAGCCTATTATAAATTGTGCTTTTTGCAATATAAACGACCCAGCTATTCCTATTGCTTAGTATTCTTATACGATGACACTCAACAAGACCCCAAAATCAGAACACGTTGAACAGGAATCAAATTGTATTCAAAATAATAATAATAGGTGAACAGCAATCCGCAATCAGCAATCAATAGTTTAAATATCGTTCATATATTTATAGAATATGCATAAGAAGCTTATAGATTTTTCAGCAATAATATGCCCGGGCTGATCGGTTTAAAATTAACCAATCAGCGCGCAGCAACACCATCATGCATAAAACATGCTTAATACAATCTATATCCCACTAACAAAGCCAATATGAAAATCAGAATATTCAATACGAACATCAAGCCAACTCTAGTGTACTAAGCTGAAACATGAAGAACTATCACAACTATCATCAAAAGAGTGAGTATTTATAAGCAATTGTTTATGCAAGATACTGAATGTCCGTTGTCGGGAAACCATCAACAACAGCCTACTGTGCGAGAGAAGAAACCAGTTTTCATATGAAGAGGAAATTAGGAAAAGACGTTGGATGAGGATGGGAAACACATTACGGAAATTATCGAGCTGCATCATGAAGCAAGCACTAACATGGAATCCTGAAAGTAGATGGAAAAGTGTTAGACCAAAGAATACACTGTGTCGAGAGTTGGAAGCAGACATGAAAAGGATGAATAGCAACTGTAAATAAATGGGAAGGATTGTCCAGGACAACGTTGTATGGAGAATGCTCGTGGGTGGCCTATGCTCCTCGACCAGGGTTAATAGGCGTAATTGAGTAATTGCGTATATTCTAAATTATAAAATCTTAAAGTATCATTACTGTAGTAAATGATTTTTTAAAAAATGAAAAGGTTTTGTTTGTTTAAAACTTATAGTTTAAGTATTATAAGATCTTATTTGTAAAACAATTTCTTTACTTATTGATTTATTAGTTAGAAGGAAAGATTAAAGTGTATGAAGACGAAATCCTCAAAAAAGATGAGTTAATTCAAAAGTTATCCAGGTAACTAATTAGTTGATATTTTAATTTGTGTTAATTTTCTAATTCCATTAGTATGGATATTGGTCAATTTAAATCTACTGAACAGAAACTTACTGGTAATAGTAATAGTAAAGAACATGAAGAGTATCAACAGACAAGTATAAAACGTGAAGATCTTGCAAAATTACGAAGCAAGGTTGAACAATTATGTGAAAAAGTAAATTATTTTTAATTATCAATGGTATAGTTTATGGTTGAGCATAAAGTATACGAAACAGATTTTTCAGTATAAAGGTAATTTTCATACTATGGATTATATCTACAACTTAGATTGCTGAAATGATCTATCAAATTTTGATTAGTTATGCTATAAACTGATATAATATAACCGAGTAACAATTGATCACAAAACAGAATATTATAAATTTTTTTCAATCAATGAGAATTCATAGATAGAGGGACGGTTTATAATATCAAATCAACTGGTCATACTTATTAAAACATATCCAGTAAAATAATGCATTTATTTGTTCATTGAAAAGAAATCGTATTCAAGGGTAATTAATTCAGTACAACTTGTCTGCTAATGAATATTAAGTCAAATATAATAGAAATACTGCTGGGCAACTTATCATTATAAATATAGAAAATAAAAGTGAACTCTAAAGCATAAAACATACTTTTGTCAGAAAATTTGTTTTCATAATGATCATTTGAACAGTTACAGCTCAGATACTATTGTTTGTACTTTTATAAGATGACAGTCACTCTACATTGTTTGTAGTTATTCTAGAGTTGAGAAGTTAACTCAACTAACTCAGTGATAAATGTTTCAAACTGAGATGAGATATCTATTCAATGTCACCTGGTTTTTAACAACGCCATGATAATTAAAGTAATTTTTACAATCAAATTAATAAACCAGAATTGTAATAAAATATTTTACAACAGAACAAGCAGAATCTAACCAAAATTGGTAAGTTGTTTTTTTCGGATAAAGGAAGTATCACTTCTTATGCTCCAGTAATTTGATGAAAATGTATATGAAAAAATGTAAGAATGTTAAGGTCTTCCTCTACTACCACTTTCCAAACTGTTAAATCAGCTGAAATACTAGCACACAATATTCATAATTCAGAGAATCATATGGGATTGATTTATCTATACTCTCGGGTATAACTATGATTGATATTATCTGTGATTTCTAACATTCAACTATAAAAGCGGTTTTTTAAGTCTTTAGAAATAAATAAAACACTCAGTTTTCAATGTAAAATGAAATATCGAACATTTTGATGTTTGATTATATTTCCTTGGGAAAGATTGGATCAGATTGCCAGGCGAAACGTTGAATTCCCTTCAAATTCATTCGCTGAGATTTTACAAATATATATTATTCCTATTTAATGTCTTACATCCACTTGGCGCTCAAATACTGTGAAACTATAAGATGGTGGTTGGAGGTGGTCAACAGGAAACCCTGGACTCGGGTTTCGTGCTACTTGGCACTCGTTAGCAAGGTGTACCTGTAATCTTGAGGGAACTGCTGCTCCTTGACGGATTCTATCTCGTGTCACTCAGCTTCACAGTCAGAGACGTTACCATTGAGCTATTCGGGCCGCAACCTGTAGGACTGAGATGTGCTGACGAGTGCTAAGTAGCACGAGACTCGGGTCCAGCGTTTCCTGTTGACTACCTCCAACCACCATGTTATCTCAACATAGTGTAAGGATTGTTGAGCCACCTAGACTAGTGGTCACATTGCAACTTGATCTATAGAATTCGATCAGCACTAAGAAGGACTTGACACACATGACACTGATCACCACCCAGTGATCAATCAATTGTAACTTTGAAACTATTCACTGTAATTTAGACAAAAGTTCTTATATAAATATCATACATTTTATTTTTAAATTTACAGACATTAAGTCAAGAAAGTGAATTAAAAGCAAAATCAACCCTGTTAACTAAAGCGGAAACAGATATTAATAAATTAACAAATAAAAACAATGAATTAATATCTGAAAATGAAAAATTAAAAAAACAATTAAATGATTATACAACAAGTATGAATACAAAAATTACTGAATATGAAATATGTAATAAAAAATTGAATGAATCAAATCAATTATTGAAAACTGAACAAAATAAAATAGAAGAACTAAAGAAGCGTTTAAAGTAAGTTATAAATTTGTTTAGTTAAATAAAGCTTTTATGAAAGTTTTATTTAAACGGTGAGTTTTTTTAAACAATGAATATTGAACACATTTTAGTTATATTTCTTCTATGTTTAATTATCAGCTCATTTTTTTAGATAACGAGTCGAGGCTGATAGTTACAGGATGTAGAACTAATAAAAGAAATTGAAGAAAATAATAAAATAATTGCTTATTGCTGCAAAGAACAAAAAAGAATGTGACGGAGTGTTCTGTTAAAATAACAACAAACATGCTGTGTTATACACAGTGAACAGCAAACAAAACCGTTTTACCACTGAAATATTGTTTTTTTGGAATTTCAGAAATTTTATAATAATACATATTCTAGGATTGCGAAATAATTTTCTTTTAATATAGTCTTAACCAATCTAAAATTACAGCAGGTATAATGGTTAGCTATTTTGGGTTGATCAATTTGACATGTAAGCGAACTATTATTCAGGTTATTACCAGAAGGGGTTTTGCGGAGATTTTAGTAATTTTATAGTTGAATTCATGAGTCGATTGGAGCTAGACCACCATGGAAAACCTGAAGCACTGGACGGCTGTTTCGTCTTATTGTGGGACTCCTCAGCAGTGCGCATCCACGATCCCGCCTCGCAAGCGAGATTTGAACCCAGGACCTCCCAGTCTTGCGCCAGAGCACTTAACTGATAGACCACTGAGACGGCATCCAACGGTGTTAATGTCTAACTTCAACTGATCCATGAAGTTGAGCGACCGTTCACCAATTGTCTTCAGTGAGTTAATATCTCACAACAGACCTGGTTGAACTCCACTAGTCACTGCTTCTCCTGGGTTCGAATCTCGCGAGTGCGGGATCGTGGATGCACACTGCTGAGGAGTCCCATAACAGGACGAAACGGCCGTCCAGTGCTTCCAGGTTTTCCATGGTGGTCTAGGTTCAATTGACTCACATATATAGAAGTGTGAATAGATTAAAATGTTTCAAATCTACATTACTCAACTTAAATGATTTACACAAATGATATAAACTTTAGTTGTTCGACTACATGCTAGACTATTTATTCTAGTTAGTTTACCTGTTGGGATTAAGCAATTTATTAATGATTTTTTTTAGTAAACAAATAGAAGAGAAAGAAAAATCTGATTATCAACTTGTACAAAATGAGAAATGTTTAGAAAATTTCATTACAAAAATGATTCATATATTTGATACATTTTTAAAAAATGATGAACATTTAATGATTGATTGGAAAAATGAAAAAAATTTAGAAGATTTAATAAGTAAAGTAAATTTTCTCGATTTATTTTGTTTTTTAATTAATCTAATAGTTATGAGGTTAAATTTTATTTTTGCCAACTTTACCACTCATATTGTACCTTATTTAAACTAGAATTAGTTACAAAAAGTGTAGTTCAGGAAAAGAGATTATTTTTTAGTGCATAAGACATTCATATTTAGTCATGTAGCTGCCTTTTTAAAATGGATACTGTATCGAATGAAAGTATTTTGTACCGTAAACTGATAGTGTTTGAAAAACTACTTAAAAGCTTGTGTAAACATTGTGAATGAGATAGCTAACTCCGTCTGTTAAGTGTTTTTATGGCAATGTTTGACTAGTGTAACAAAGATGTAATTAGGATTAACGAATGTGCTTTGGTCGAATACTATTAGCTGTGTCGGAGGTAGTTGTCAGCCGTCAAAAATATTTTGAGTATGTCACATGTAGTCCATCAAAAATAGCCTTTCTCCCAAGTTTCGCTCACTTTTGTCATTATTATGCTCCTAGAAGTGGTGTTTTGTTCATTAGAAATCTACTTGACGTTTAATAACTTGCTCCAGACACGGCGCCAGTTATATAGCTTTCTGTCTGCCAAAAGACGGATGTACGTTATAGTACTCTCTCTTGGAATGTTTCTTAAACGAAATAGACTGACAGTATTTGATCAAAGGCACTCGATAGATATGTTTTGGATGTTTAGAAACCATCGATTAAAACTGTTCCTAGAAGTACAGTTTTAGTTTAAAATGTTAGATAGGTTGAAGAGGAACATTTGTAGACTAAAGTGACTGAGAATGAACAAAGAGTGTCGCTTATCGTTTCTCAAGTCATGTTTAATGTCCGTCACCTATTTCGTCATAATATATACAAAAAATCTTAGACAAACCCTATTTGTGAAGTATATTTTTTTACAACATACCTTGTTCACATAATCTTTGGACGTTGTAGACTGCTTAGAAATACTATCGGAAGCATACTACTATTAAGTAGTTTAAATATATTCTCACAAACTTAACAACCTTTTTTTTACTAACATTTCGCTTTCATTCTAACTACTGTGTCTTAACATTGTTTAGTCTCGGTAATACTTGAATACCGTTATCAAGAAGAACTGATACTGTCTGAAAGTTACTGGTAACAAAGAATGGTGTTCAAATCTATATGTAGCTCCAAGCAAATGTATTGCTTAGACAGATTTTATATATTAGTTCTGGAATATCACAGCTTAAATAGCACTTTTTATTTGTAAAATTAAAAAATAATGTTAAAACGTCAGTACCATTTAACTTCCATACAGTAATTTAATTAATTTATTTCATTTTGTTGTACCCTCTTTATTTTAATCCGTTTTCTTTTAAATAAATAGGCTAAAGATGTCGTCAATGAAAATTTAAAAAATAAAGGACGTATTCAAGATTTATTGGATCGACTAAAACAACATGAAAATGAAAATGCCGATCAAAAAAGTAGTATGAATCGTTTAGGTGAATTATTAACTAAGAATGATCGTTATGAACAAGAAAACAGAAAACTAAATCAGGTATTAATTTTTCAATTTAAATAGAATGTTTGTTGTTATTGCCGAGGAATAAAAATAATAATAGTCAGTCAGTCACAACGTAGAACTTCGTACGTACGTACATCAGTTTGAGTTGCCATACCACATTAGCACAGAGATGCAGTTGTCGATTCAAATTCCATAGTGGTAGAAGTAGTAAGAGTATAAGCAGTCAAAAAATTAATCAAATTTTTACTCGTGTAAAATTAATGCAGAAGACTTTCAGTCAGAATAATAACATTCTACTACTAGAAAGATTTCATTCATTTTATATCTTAACTGAATGGTAAGATTAGTAACTTTTAATTTAAGATGCTTAAGATACCCCAAAATCTGTTTTCCGAATTTCTGGCACACCTCGCTCGTGAGCGCTGAATAGCACAAAAAGTAGGTGTAAGGTTTCCTGATGACTATATATATAGACACTCAATAACTCAGATGATCTAGGTAATGCCAAGTCACTATGACCAATAACCATACAGTAACTTAACGGATAAAATCTGATCGACATTCAAAGATTAGAAAATATGACATTAATTCCTCACTATTCAATGACTAATCAATGGATTGTATTTTTCTTCATTCAAATATAATTTCAATAGGAATTAGAATATATTCGATGTAATGAAAAAGCTTTAGAAGAACGAAATCGTGTATTGAATAAAGAATTAATTGATTCACAATTACATATAAGAGAATTAGATAAACAATTACAAGATACAATCAGTAAAAATGAGAAAAATCATTGGAGTAATCAAAATAAATATGAAGAAGATAATTTATTATTTCGGTTTGTTAATCTTTTATGTATTAATGGTTAATTTTTCGTCTTTTTAAAAAGAATATTTGATTGACTTTTATTGATATTTGGTGTTTGAGGTAGAAGGCACTAGGTTCGAGTCCCGGAGTGAACATCAACTCTGAGATGCAGGCACATCCAGACGACGAGTCCCAAATAGGACGAAAAGCGCGTCCTGGATCTCACTGCTAGCCACTGTCTATCTTTGCTTACAATACTTGTGAATTAAGGCTATATCGAGGCAATACGCACAGTATGCACATATGCCAATTAGAGACTGATCAGTTGCAGTCCTAAACATCAATGGGAATATTCAAACAAACAATACTAATTGAATTTTTACTGTAATTATGGTTTTTAGAATAAGTCGTTTAACATCAAGAAGTAAACAATATTTACAGTTTTTTTAATCATATACTGATATCAAGTTGGAGAATCGCTGAGAACCAGAATGTGATGATGAATATGTTTTGATCTTTATGTTAAATTGTATCATGATAGTAGTCAAAATTTTACGTTTGTAGGATCAGTTCTGTAAGACATTGATGTAATACTCTACTATTGAAAAATGCTTCAAACTAGTACAAAACACTTACCTACAGTATATCTATGATTAGTGAAGAGTATAAAATTCTATGGCTTAAAATGTAGTAAACCAAAAAAATAGATAATTGTCATTCGATTATTATCCTTATATATTTTCTTTTGAAACATCAGCACTGTCGTCCACTACAGTGAATAGTTAGCGTTTCTAATACAGTGTTATATTCCTTGCCAATATGCCATATCATAATTGTTATGTTTTTGACCTAGGCGGTAGCCAATTGTTATGACTTGATCAAGGTCGTCGCTGATTCGTTATGACCTTACGAATTTAACAAGGACGTAATTCGCGTAAATGATCCACCAATAGAATACGCCTTCTACGACCTTCACACTGTGACAATGACGTTCGATTAATATGAGTAATCTAGCGTCCTTATTGGTCCTTATCCGCCTACCCGTCCACTTGAGTCCAGAACACCAATAGCAGCTGCTGTAATGCGAATCGTTTATTTCAAGCATACTTTATCTATATACCAGACAGGCAGACCACACCACACCATAAAATAGAAAATAATATTTGTACAAAACCAGGCCAAATGAAGCTGTAAGCGTGGGAGACAATAATCAATAAAACTGAGCATAACGCAGGGACAGTAAATCATATAGTAATAATCAATAGGTCAAAATGAAGCTAGTAATAAGATGAATATAGATATAGATAATCTAGTTACCCGTACTTCGCTACTACATAACAATAATTCTTCTAAATACCATATAAAGTGAACAGACAATTTTTTGTATATTTGGGCTACGACCAGAAGTTTAGTGCAGAATGCGTATTTGGATGTATTTGTTTCCGTGTTGATGTTCACTCTGGTATCTGTTGCTCTGAAATGCTTACAATCGGAAACTACAGACACTTATTTACCGTAAAAAATATTTATAAATGGAATATAATTGTATGTATAAACCTGAATTTATAATTTATAATAGTTTTAAATCAATTCATTAACACAATATATGTAATATTCAATTAGGAATTCATTGGCTTCATTGCTATCGTACAATAATTTCCAATGTAATCCAACTGAAATATCTATCAAAGAAAGTATTAGAAAGTTTATGAGTGAATTACAAGAACAAAAAGATGTAAGTTATTTGTATCAAGTGTTTGATTTGACCGTCTTAAAAGATAAACAAGCTGTCAATATGGTTTTCAAGGTAGAATATCGGGCCTATTTCGTTTCCGCCATACCAGAACACAGTGCAGTGTTTTAAGTTTATCCATGTCAAATAGTAAAAGTGAAGTTAAACCATTATCAGAAGTTCAAATGGACTTCTTAGAACAAATTAACAAACTCAACTTCACCCTGATCATTGACTCGTTCAGAAAATGGGTTTTAATGTGAAGCCAAATTTTCTTTACAATAACATTTATGGTATCAAATGGTATCAAATAGGTGTTCCCCAAGTTTACCCTTGTAATCCCTGAGGATTTCTATGTAGTATATAAAATACCAGATCTCCTCTTTACAGGTTTAACACCAATTGGTTAGCTGAATGTTTACCAATACCTTTAATCAGGATAGCCTGGAACTAAGAAAAGAGAATGCAGTCGTAAAATGGCATAATTTTTCTGTGGAGGTTCTAAAAATCCTCCCAATTCAATTGATTGATAATACTTTTGTAGAAGTGGTGTTTGAAAGAAACGTCTACAGCTAGTAAAAATAGCTTGGTCGAAATGTTGTCAATTACACTTTCATGTGAGAATATATATGACACCAATTGTTATCTTAAGGTGAGTAAGTGGTTTAATATATGAAGCAGAGTTGAAGTGAAAGAGACTAGCTAAAAGCATGAGTCATATACACCATATAAATTACATATCAAATACGCCATCATGGTATACATATATATTTGTCTTCGAGATGAATTGTAGAGACTAGTCACAAAGACCCACACTTCAGTAAGAACAATCAAATTTCAACCAAGTGGTATTATTCACAAGACAAGGTATTAAACGTATTTTATCAGAGATAGAGTTTATCAAATTTACACAATACCTGAAGGTTGTATGACAACTCATTACAAGCATACTGATGAAACTGAGATATACCAGTGAACTGACTTTCTTGCTTACACAAACCCCAATGTTTATCTGTTTACATTTCAGGTCAGTTTGATGAATGATAGATTTTGAGCGAGTTGTAAACATTATTATTTAATATTAGGACTTCTCGTACGGTTTGTGTTTTCATTCAAGTGATTAAGATGTTCTTCAGTAGCTCAGGCAAGGTCAAGATTGTATCCATATTTGAGATAGATGTATATTGGTTTGTCTTCCTCTGTAGTACTGCTTATAATAATCGAAGACAATACATTAGTTATGTTAAAATCTAGAAGGTTATATATGGATGTGACAGAGACCTGTATACAGCGAATGAAATCATCCTAGAATGTTGGTTTCAATAGCTTCACCATGCTTAATATATGACATTCAAGCTGTGGTCATAGAGATTATTGTTTATTGACACGAAAACTAATCGTTTAAACAGTATGATAGTCAATTTTGAACATTTAGCAATGGAATAACAGTGTTAAATCATCAGTCAACCACAAATTTCCTTCATAATGCCTATCTATTTGATAGATCTGGTAATTCTACAAGTTTTAGCCTAGATATGGAATTAGTGGCCATAATTTTGTAGTTTTTTTGCCTTCCGTATTAAACATAATCTATACTTTGGTCAAGATAAAATCTCCCTCGATGATGCCTTTTAACTGAACTGTTTATATTATTAGTTTTTGACTTTTTCCATTACAACACTATGTCTTCTGTTTGTGTGGCTCATTTTGTGATAACTCATCATATTAAGTCTGTTACTTTTAAACAAATCTGATGAATAACTAGTTGGTCTAATGTATGTTTTATTTTTTTTATCCTTTATCTAGTTATATTCAAGACTTGAAATTCGTTTATCAGATACATTAAGACGTTTAGATCATTCACAAGCTTCTAAACACGAAATGGAACGTATGTTAGAGAAAACGGAACATGAATGTTTTGATCTGCGTGAACAGATTAGACGTCTAGAAACAGATTTGATAAATTCTGATATGGTAAAGCAAGAACAACGCTCAGACAAATTAAAAGTAAGTATTTATGTATAACACTGATGTTGTAGAAAAAATAAATGTTGAACATTTTTTGGCTACTTACGAGTAATAAATAATACTAAACAAAACCAGTTGGTGAAATCAAGTAATTTGTACGCGAAATGATGCTATCCAATTCGAAAATATTTCAAAACTTATATCAAGAATGAATATTAGTCATTGAACTAATTCTTGACAATGTTCTAGTCTTGTCAAAACTGGTGGTCGATGTATTCTTTGTAAAATCCCTAGGTTTGATGATTAACTTAAGTCTTTTTTAGTCTGAAAAGAAAGCTGCTAGTTTGTTATGGCTCCAACAGATATCACAATCTGGTTTGCTTTTTTGTAGGCATTTAATTGATATAACTAGCCCAGTCAACGAAGATAATTTTCGATTGAATTCTCCCCGAGTAAGCTCCAGGGAATAAATGTATTGATAACCACGACCTGGGTTTCAGGACATGTTCGTTACAGGTCAACATCCTGGATAACTTTATCAAAAATATAAAAATCTTCAGTATTCTTTCAAAATTTAAACAAATCATCAACTGTTTTATGTACCTTTCACTATTCATTAAGCTTTAGAAATTCACGTAAAACAATAATCAGTCAACTGATGAGTAAAGATAAGTGTATTCATATTGGAGTTTTAATAATTAAGGCAGCTGAAAGTGTTTCATATGTTTAATCACCGCTTTTGTCAGTCTACTGTGTTTTGTATTATAGCAACGGGTTGAAAAACTGACAAGAAAGGGTTAGTCTAAAGAATTCTATTTGCCAGTGAATTCATTAAATAGTGATGTTAACGTTGACGTGATATAGTCTCGGCTCGCAAGATTACCGGAATCTAAGGTTGAAGACCTCATATTATATGACTCAAAATCAGTCACAGTGGTATGGATGCATGCACGTTTCTAATCTTCCTTTAAATTTTGTACTTCAGTGATATCTTTTCATGCAATAGTAAACTATCCTGTTTTGACTTGTAAATTTAAAATAAATTGTAAATTTAGTGGATTCCTGTAAGTTAGATTCAAACACTATTACATATTTTATGTGGTCGGTTTGATGATGTCAAATTATCCAATACCACTGATATAGTTTTTTTTAAAAATTCTTCGCACTTCATTGTGTTAATTATCACTCACTTTACTGAGGAGAGTTGTGGGAGTCTAAATAATTGGACGTGTGTGTTAGGTTCTACAATAATATGCATTGTAGGTTTGTGTTGAAACAACGTAACCTCGAAATAGAGTGCGCTGAGACTCTAATGTGTTTTATTTATAGAATTGTTTTCGTTACTTACAAAAATATAATTAAAATGTTGCGTTTTTCACATTTTCATATGGCTACTAATTTTGTGCACTACACTATATTATTGATTGAAATACATTAGTCCATACTATATTCAATCGATTTTAGAGCCTGTAAAGAATGTTGTTCACCTATCACAATTAACTACTATTACTAAATAATTATACTTTTATTCTGCGTTTTCACCCGTTTTCTTAGTTTTAATATCATTTCCATCTATACTACATGTATTACTTATTGAGATTTATTTATTTTGAAAATGTTTTTGTTTCCAAACATAAAGCCTGATTCATTTTCGCTAGTTGTTACTGCTTGTTTATCAAAGCTCTGAAATATTCATTAATTTATAGTATTATTTATAGTTATTGCCCGAATATTTGATGTACCTATTTACTTTCTGACTATATCCTGGAGGGCACAATCTTAGCGTAGGCATCTCACTGTTCAAATTTTGTAAACATCATTCATATGCTCTTAAATCGTTAACGTCTTTGAGAACTGAAGTAACTGTTAGGAATACTAATGAAACATAATTATCTGTACTGTGTTTTGAATAATAAAGAAGAGATAACCATTCCTTATTAATCACTAGATCTTCTTTTTTTTGTAATTGAATTAAATTTGTCTAGTGTGCGATTTTTTTTAACGTTCTGATCAATAATATAACATTTTTATCCTTATATATTGACAGATTTTCTCGTATCTCTGTAAACTTGCAGCAAAAGTAAGAATAGATGAAAAAGTTGCTTCAGGAATGAGATTTGATGAATTACAAGAAGTCATTTTGAGTAAGTTAATTGTAAATAAAATTATAATGAAACAGATATCTCTTAGGAATTTTAAAATTATCTCAATACATAGTGTTAATAATGTTGAAACAGACTATTGGGTTTTTGAAAGAACTTTGAAGAAATTTCTTTATAGACGTTTCATTCTAATCATTATCAATATAGAAGATTTATTAATAGTTCATAAGCAATTCATATTCTTAATAAAGGTGAAAACCTATCTATTATACATCTGTGCTGTATGTCAAAAACGAGAATAAGTAAATGATGTATTAACTGTTATGTTTTTCTTACTATATATAGAACTTAACATGTTTTGAAATAGTCCATATGCAAATTGTACATTAAATCAGCAGTACGCAGTTATAAATATATGGTTTCCTGTGTGTGTTCCAAAGGGTTGGTTATCCTATAAGTATACTCAAAAGTTGTTTAAAGTACCCAAAATCTTTTTTTAAAAATTATTTTTAAACCAAGAACTTTACTCCTGATTTGTTGAACAGTAGGTTATACAATAGTCCTTTATTTTCACATATTTCAACGAAATACAGAGTATCAATATCAATAATTATCGAACTGAATGAAACATGGAAATCGTTTGTTTAGAACATTTATGCTCCTCTGAATGGTTGGAATATAAACCTGAATAATTGCACTGTAAAAGTTGAAAACAGTTATGATTTGGAAAAATAGTATGCTGTAACATTTTTGTATCAAAGAATGGTTTCCTTAATCACAATAAATATATGAACAACGAAAGACAAATCAAAAATCAGAAGGGGTTTTGTAGAAAATTTCAGTATTTTCATAGTTGAAATCATTAGTCAATTGAAGCTAGACCACCATGGAAAACCTGGAAGCACTGGACGGCCGTTTCGTCCTGTTATGGAACGCCTCAGCAGTGCGCATTCGCGAGATTCGGACCTAGGATCTACAAGTCTTGCGCCAGAGCACTTAACCGATAGACCACTGAGCCGGCATCCATCAAAAATCTTCAAATGTTATAGTTTAAGGTATCATTCACAATCAAATACAGATAATTACTGGTATAGGCACCCAAAATTGTACTGTTTGTCCTTTTACTTTAATTTAAAGGTACTTCTCACACTAATATAAGTTTATGAAGAATAATACTTTGAGAATAATCAAGCGCTTAAAATACCTTTAACTACCATTATTGGTTGTTTTTACAAAAGTTGATCAACAATTTTTGGATAGTCTGTTAAAGAGATATTCAGTTAATCACTTTCATTGGTTTTCAATATTTTATTTACAGCAAGAATTGGACAAATAATGAGTGGTGAATACACTATGTTAAGTGATGTTCAAGCTAATGCTGATCGTATAAATGGTTTAAATCGTAAAGTGAAAAGATTACAAGATCAACTAGCAAGTAGAGAAATACAATTAGGTTTATGGAAAGAGAAAGCTAGTAAATTAGAAGATCAATTATCCGGCATAACTGAAACTGAAATGAAAGCTCATGCAAATAAAATTGCAGCGGAAAAATCAGCTATCAATGCTAGAAGATCAGAATTAGAAGTATCTAGATTAAAAGATGAGTTAACTCGTTTAAAAGCGGAACTATTAGATTTTAGTGATGCTAAAGTAAGTAGTTGATTGAAAATATTACTTTGTTTTTCATTTTGTTGTCTATCACCATCAATGCATTAACTATTTCACTAAAAATATTATGTAAATTGTTGATATAATCTGTATCAATTAATTGGGTGTATTTGTAAATTTCTGCTATTTCTCATACAAGCTAGTTGATAGTCGTTTTGCATTATTTATTAATGTCCACTAGGCTAACTGTAGCTGCCTTGTGAAGAATAATTTTGTTGCTTGGCAGGATTTTGCTTTTTTATGGTTACTATGATTAGTTACCTCAGCAATCTAGGGATTGATTTACAAAAACTAGTTGCATTACTTCACATATTCATTCATACTTCATTCCTTATGACTATGTAGGTAAATAGTTTTTAGCTTGTAGACTGTTAATCTATTGTTTTCTTAAAATAACATTTCTTTGACATTTTGTTTAATGTCAGTGTTAATTAGTGAGTGATGAAATGGGAATTTTAGATTAAATATAGAAAACAAAATACAGTATTAGCTACTTCAGTCCTAAATTTATGCCATACATTACGTATATACAAGTTAAACCAAATAACCTTTTTCTAAGAAATTTAAAGAAAATTTCCGATATTTAGAATTCCATAATGAACAACAGTTTCATAGGTTATGTCTCAATGTTTTATTAGGTATATAGTGAATAATACACGTGGTTACTTCAGTGACTGATTTTCGTTCCATTTTTAGATGTTCCAAGTTCGAAACATCGTTTTAATTAACACTGATTAAACTACACTTACATAACTTATCATTAATAGTTGAAATTCATAATATGTGTGTTTATGTAGTGTATGTATGTATGTGTATGTCATAAAAACTTCCTGTTTTGTTTTCGACATTTAAGTTTCATTTCCCAATATGCTGTAATGGTATATTCCTATCAACTATTTTATTCTATCATCGTTATTCACCATTTGCAATTTGTTTAAATATATTTTTTAAACTAATAGTGAAATGGTAATAGCAGATTCTCCTCTAGTTTATTAGCTAGATTTCGCCAAATTTAATATTTTCAGTTACTGTCAAAGTTATCTCTAATCAAAGAAACAGTCTACAGTAAACATATTCCTTACTTGATTAATGAAAGTAAACAGATTATGGAAAATAAAATTGTATCGACAGTCGTGATAAATAAAAGCATAAATATTAACAGTTCATCTATTTTCATAAGTGTGTACGCAAAATCATGAATATTAATGTTATCCAACATAATTTTATCTATTATCTTTAGTGGTATTGGTTAGTAGAATATGTATAACATGTTGAATTGTGATTACTTTTGTAAGTTAGATTATAGCAACCATCCTTCAATCAATTTCGATTGTGGTTAATTTTGGTTAAGCGCTATTTATTAACTTACTTAACTGACATCGTTATTTGGATAATAACAATTTACATATTCTTTGTACTGTATGACCACTAGAGCACATGAAACTCTGGCCAAAATGGTTCGACATTAATTTCATGGCACTTATGATCCCCTACTACCCACTGATTCGAAATTTAAGGATGTGAAAAAAAATTTACTGAAAAAAATTTTCAAAAATCACCGTGAGTGTTATTCGCCAAATTGTTGATTGCTTAAGTATCATTCGATGACTCATACTCCACCCCATATATACATGAACGCAAATCCTTTTATCAGCTTTTGTTTTGTTTTGCTGCGCCCTTATTAAATTTGACTATAAATTGCCTATGTAATTGCTTGCTACTCGCTTGCTGCTCGCTCGCTGATATTCGCTCAGGTGTTGGTAGCTTTCTGGCCTGAGGTATTTGACAGTAAACTGTAGTTGCTACTTCTCTTTGCCTTCTGATTTTATGCGCTTTTAAGATTGGTATTATAACGGTTATCACGGTGAACGATTAACGAAGCCACGGCACTACAAGATTAATTTTGAAGACTTCTAAGTTAATTAATGTTCCCTTTATTTCGAAAATGCTTATTTGGAAAGAGCAAATATTTTTTGAGATAAAGGTATAAAAACATGTTTGTCTACTGCCTTATAAATTTTAAGTGTTCTTTTTAAAATTTAAATTAGTATAAGTTAAAATGAATTATCAAGATTTTAAAACAAACGGCACTCTTTTTTAACATTTACTTTTCTATTTCTAAATTACATTTATTTAGATTAATGTAGTTAAGTATGAAGAACAACTAGGTGAGCTAACTAAACAAAACAAAGAACTAGAATGTATACGTCAAAGTCAAGCGACTAAAATTGCTGAGTTAACAGAAAAAATGGAATTACAAACAAACGAGGATAGTGATAATCGTAATCGATTAGAAGAAGAATGTAAATGTTTAATAAATGAATTACAATCAACTAGAAAGTCAATGGAACAACTTCGACGTTCTGAAAGAGAGGTAGTGCAAGATTTTCAATGTTATGTACTTTTCTGAATTTGATTTTTAAGGAAACTTTTTAAAAACCAAGTGTAGCTATTTTTCTATATAAAATTTATGATTTTGAGCGGTGATATGGCTTTCACCATTAATTAAATTTTGTCTGAGAAAAACACTATAGACTAGAGAGTGCAAGTAACTTAACTTATTTAAAAAATTACTAGTTTTTGTACTCGTTTTTGAGTCAAATATTTTATAGAAAAATTAATAATATTGATCAGCTATCCAGATCGAAGTAAGTGGATCTGGGTTTCGACTTGCAAACTAGTGGTTGATAGTTCAATGTTTTAACCGCTAAGTTACTATTTGACTAGAAAATATTAAACGCTGTTTTGATTCTAACAAGTAGATGGTCGAAAAGACCTCAAGTAACCCCAGGTAACAATGGTTTGATATTAATTACTTAGTGGATCAAACGTTTAGACGGGGAGTTGTAGATGAACTTAATCTGTTTATTGAATAAAAATCGGAATTCTGTAGATTCAATTTTAACAAGTTGTTCGAACCGTAAAAAGGAATCGCATTTGTCGCATAATCAAGTTTGAACAGAGCATTTGAGTATTTTACTTAAATTTGTGATCATGTTTTTTCTTGAGCATATGAAGAACATACTGAAGTTATTTGTGTCAAATACGCTTCACCTACGTATACTTTTCAACAATCAAGTCATGTAACTATGGAAGAAAACTTATAAAAAGATTATGGTAAATTTTTTTAATAATGTGGAAGCACAGTTTTTAGAAGCCAAACACTATTACTAAGTAACTGCCAAGTGTCCGTTTCATTCATGGAACCTAACTCATTTCAAATACCGTTGAGTGCGTTTTAAAATAAATAAATTTTTAGGTAAAACTTCTACTTACCTCATTAATCGATATTATTATCATGGTTTATAACCCCTCTCGGACTTTGACTATCATAAATTGAGTTCAAAAAATCTATAATCTGTGGTGATATGAACAATGAAATTGTCAACCCTTGTAGATTTGTGAACAGTGTAGATACAAATCAGTAAATATTTATGAAATTCCTTAAGGTTTCAGTTTATTTTAATTAATACATTTAATTAACGACAAATTTTATTTCGTAGCTTCTCATCAGATTAAGTAACAAACACGACATTGAATTGAAATAAATGCTACGCTACCAAACTGTTTGTTGTTGAGATGGCTAAGTCCATGATCCCATATAAACTTAAATATTATATCCCAGCCTACTTAACAGTTCATATGTGTACGTGGACACATATACGTAGGAATGAGTAATCGTACTATGCAACCAAGGTTATTGGAACATTTTCCCAAATAACTTTTGAATCATTTATCATCACATGCTTATAAGGACGCCAAGATTAGAAAGCTACTCTTCTTCATAGTAAAATATATTTTTGAAACAAGTATATGTAATCAGGTAATAATTTACTTGTATTTCGTTTAGGAAACACATCATAATTTAAGATCAACTTCATTCCCTCATTATATTTTCAAAATAACATGTTTTGTTGTTACTACCATAGCTTTTGGAATTCAGAGCACTTGTTGGTCGTCTTCTTGGTTTAGATGCAGAATTATTAACAGTACCTAATTATGATATTATCAGTCGTTTAGAAACAATAGTTACACATAATCAATTTGCTCATGATAATCCAATGTTGTTACATATGAATGATGCACATTCACCGAATAGAAAATCAAGTTCATTGACCAAAGATACTGGCTTGCAACGAAATACAACGGCAGATTGTTATGTGGCCGGACCACATTCAGCTAAAACAAGATCTAAACAAGGTGAGATACTGTTTTTTTTCCTTGTATTCATAACTAAACATTTAAATACGTCTGTGATATTATGTTTCGTTAGGTCACTAGAGAAATTTTTATGTGCTTCCTAATTCATAAATCAGTGTAATGAGGAATTAATTTCGATATCGGGTATAATATTGGACAAAGCCCCTCAGTTAGTTTAGTTTTAATGTACAGCTGAACTATTGTTATAATACAACAATTGACTGGAGAACCTAAATAACCATATCTATCACATTTTTACGGAACTGATAAATATATCTCAGTCAAATAGATTTTAGAGGTCAGAACTAGTGGTTAAATGACTGAATATATACCATAGGGGAAGTATATCTACTATTTATATTATAAAATACTCATTCAAGAATGTCTGATTTATCAGATGACGTATACAGATGTCTGATATGATGAAACACATTCATCATACTCCTGTTCTCACAGTTATAGCTCACAAAAACGACCAGTCACTTTTGTGAGATGCACACACAATGAGCTTGAGAAAAGTCGCCGTGCTCACCTTCGTACATGTATGGAGACTCTAAAAGAGCACCTAAATTTCGACAATGACGTACCAAGAATAACTATGCTTGCAGTTCTAAAAAAGGCAACAGCTACTATGCAACTTTTAAAACAGAAAAAGCAGTGTCACGATGTCTATGAAGATAGTGAGAAACAAAGATGTCTTCAGTTGCTGAAAGGACGCCAGGCTCTGAGAAAGAAGTTAGAGGAGAAACGAAGTCGTTCACTAAAACTACAGAGTTGGAAAGAAAGAAGTCGCAATTGTTCCGAGTGGATGCTTAGTTAATGTGTGACTTGATGAAACCGCTAATCAGGGAGCAGCGAATTATCGACTGGAACAGTGACACGAAACCCGTACGAGCAGACTAGAGTGCTAACCGGTCCTGCGATCTGCCTAGCCCAACCAGTTAAGTCCAAAGCAACAATAACAGCCTCAGTGGTATGAATCATTGTATTTCAAACATACTGAGTTTATATACCAAACAAACAGACCATATCGACCCATAAAATAGATAATAACATTTGTACAATATTTAGCCGAATGTGGCTGTGAATATTAATCAATAAACTGATGATAACTCAAGGATCGTATAATAATAGTTCAAAGGTCAAAATAAAGTTAGTGATAAGAGGAAACGAATATGATTAGGTTAATTACAATAGGAAATATACATATTATATTGACCAACAAATAGTCCGCAAAAGTTACCATTCGTAATTCTCTTCGGGATACAACACAAATAAAAGCCACAAAACAAAATATCTGTCATTCTCATCCATTTTGTTTATTAATTTTATGCGATATGTGGAGAAGTGTCGAAGCCTAGTTCAAATCGACTAGATCATTTCGATAGAGAATAACAAGAAAAAGTGTTAACTAAACACTCATTAGGCGGGGGTGTTGTTCACAAAAGTGAGAGGACGAAAAGCGAATGTCCGGCGCTTTAACCGGGTTGGTGGATGTGAAGAATCCACCTAGGGGAGTTGGAAAACCCTGATTCCAAACCAATGGTGCACATGGGCTCCAGTATCCTAAAGGAACGAATGGCGTATAAACCAACTGTTGGTCACCGGCTATCATGGGACTGCATCTCCTCACGATGCTCCACTGCCTTGTGGATCAGATCTTTCGGCAAAAGGCTCCGGGTGTAGCCCCCTAAGAAAACCACTTGCTTCAGTTCGGGCACCTGAGCAGCATCACAGCCCCCACACAAATCGAAAGAGATTTGTATGGCGCATATTTATCTGGTGCTTCCTTGTACCAATGTTTATGTGTTTAAATAAATAATAAATAATAAATCATTAGGCACATAGATTACGCTGATATACCACAACAATAAAAAGCTGTTGATAATAATTAACTGTCTATTCATAAATGTGATATATTTTAGGCAAAGAAACAGGAAAACCTAAGTCTTAAAATAAGTTACAATGGCAGAGTACTGTCATTCAACAGTAGCAGTTAGTTATTATTCATAATTTGCAGATTTTCAGCATTAAGAACTCTCATGATCATAAGAAGCTCAGTAAAAAAATTGAATTACTCTAGATTGATCTAAACTAGTCAATTTTGGTGTTATACTTAGTTAAAATCATTGTAAGGGGTTTATATCAATCCGTCTATTGTAATTCCAAGATACAAAAATTTTACAACTTCTGTAATCTTATATCATAATGTTCCATCACATAAAATATTTTGGTTGTATTGGTATGATCCTTAGTTACATTTATTAACCAAGCTTTTTTAATAATTGAATAGCGAAAGGTTTGTAGATAACCCTTCAAGTTGTGTAAGAATCTTAGAGTTTTTGGTATTCGCAATCCTGAACGCTTCAGACTCTCAATACCTCTTCCTAAAATAATTGTTACTTAAATTTTAAGGTGTGGTGGTTTTCTGAATTTAGGATTAAAATATCAAAAGATAGAATATAAAATATTGACAAAAACACTTTAAGTTGGAATAGAAATTAAGAGATTGAGCATAGACAGTCAATAACAGTCTAATCGAGCTCAAATGGTCAGTTACTGATTCGCATTTAGATGAATAAAAGCATTGGAATGTAGACTTTTATTTATTTTAGTATTTATATTTTTCATGGAAGATATTAATAATGTTATCTTACAGACAGGAAATTTATGAAATCTTGTTTAGTGTGTAACATTTATTGTTTTCTATTGACTTGATCGAGTCAATCGTCATTTGTCTAACTAATACCCGAATGAAATCAATCCAATTTTATTCACTATATTATGTAGTTATCGTTAATCGATTCCGGTTTTTCTTTCTTTAAACACGCTTAACTGATCATTGATTTGAGTCAATTTAATTCTGATTCAACTTAATGAGTATAAACTTACTTTTGTTAGGGAAATTTTGGTGAATATGTTTGTATATTATTTAAGATCAGTGTTTTTATCAAAAGCACTCTTGGATATCATTTTCACTTAGTTATTCATTTTAACTAGCAAGGTAATGTGATATTATTCATTTTTTCATAATACCTAATATTATTCATTTCATGTATAGTAACATATTTTTGTCATAAAAATAAGTTTAATTATCCCTTTCCTGTTTTTTAAAATAATTTATTTAATAAAGTCATATTGATGATAATTGTTTGTCCGAATAGATCAATCTATTCGTTCATTGAGAAAAGACAAGCACATTACAATCAATGAATAGATATAGATATTTCTAAATGAATTCAAGATACTTCATGTACTGTATTTAGGTCAATTTATTTCGATCAGTTGAAAATCTAGCGAATGAATAATGATGAAAAATATTCTTGTTTTAGAAAAAAAAAGCGAAACACATTGTAGAGTGTACAATGAATACAGTGTAGATAAAAAATGATTACATTTTCTTTCTTTGAAACATAAACCAAGTGACTCCAATCAGTTAACGATATTACGTAATTATCGTCTATTGTCTGTGGTAGATAACTGTCTAACAACCCGACATCTTTGGACTCCCGTGGTTAGAACTTCTGTAATCTCTACAAACCCTTGTATACTGATAATTATCATGTACTTACCAGTGTTTAGCTTTAAGATGCGATTCTTGGAGTTCTAGTGGAAAGTTGTAATCACTGGATTTCAACCACGTCAAGCGTGATACATTTGTTGACAATAAGCAGTGGAAGAGGGTTGTGGAACATCGTGAATTGAAGTTGGAATTGTACACGATTGGATCCTTGTTCAGTGGTCTTGGGGTTAGGCGTTCATGCGCGAGATCAGAAATTATGGTTTCGATTTTCGGATATGTATTCATGGATGTTCACTGCTAAAACGTTGGCTAAATGTTTGGTTATTTCTAGAATCAAACCATGGGAAAATTTCATTTTTTTGATCATACAAGAGACTTATTTACTAAAACAACAATTAAATTCAAGATGTCAATTCTACTTTATGTTATTGTATGCATAACAATTCGCAAGGGGTTTTAGTTGGGTCATTAAGAATAATTAATGGTATATAATATACTTGAAATATAAGAGTAGAGGATACGTCTTCCATTCATTTATTTCTTTAGTATTCTTTGTTCAATAAATGTGCTTTTAACTTAAAAAGCAACATTGCTTCTTTTTTTCCTTAAGCTTGGACTAATACTTGTGAGGATTGTTCAAAATCATGTAATCGTTCAGTGAGAGATTCATTAGAAAAGTACAGGGAAAAATGCTATCCATCTGAATCAATCAAACATGATCCAAGAAAGTATTAGTTGTATTAATATTTACTTAAAAGGATTCACATAACAAGTTATTTTTGATTTAAAAATGTTTCTTTGTAAAAATGCAAAGATGACTGCAATTTTATCAACTGTTCATAGAATAATGTATCTATCATAGTTATTTTCAGTACTTTTTTTCTTACTCATTTAACTTAAAATGATCAAATGACCTTTTGATTAGATTATACAAATAAACATACATTTTGTGAGACGGCCTCTCGAAATTTCTTTTAATAATAAATTTATTCTTATTATGTTTGTTAATATTATTATGGATTCTATCATAGCTGTAATGAGTTTACGATTCAAATGCCCCAAATGCCCTGGTACGGCTGAAAGTGGGGAAAGTCAGCTCACTCTCTCAAAAAGCTCTCATATGGCCACGCGTATATAGCCTCTGCCAGGAAAGTCCTACTCACTGCCTTCTCGTGCCATTACTGTTGTTTACGAAATTGAGAGGACGAAAAGTGAATGTCCGGCGTTTTAACCGGGTGGTGCACATTGGCTCCAGTTTCCTGAAGGAACAAATGGCATATGAATCAATCGTTGGTCACCGGCTACCACGGGACTGCATCTCCTGATGTTGCTCCACTGCTTTGTGGATCATATCTTTAGGTCAAAGGTTCCGGATGTGGCCTTCTAAGGAAACCACCTGCTTCGGTTTGGGCACCCGGGCAGTATCACAACTCTCACACAAATAAAATGAGATTTGTGTGGCGCATATATATCTGGTTCCCTTTTGTACCAATATTTATGTGTTTAATTAAATTTATTTTACTAAATAACTACACAATCGAATATAATTTCAACAGTGATTGTAACACAATGTAATACTCATCGATCGAATCGATACTACGTCTCTAATAACTGTTGACCCAACCCACAAACTATTTCGAAGACAAAAAATGTTCAAAATTATTACCTCAAATCAACATATCTTAGTGGATCAGCCCGCACAGTTCCTTAATATTCAATTATTTTTTTAGCTTTCGTGAACTGATGCGATAGACTCGTTTGATTGCTACTAATGACAGCTGCCAATCGTGTGTATATATCCTGTCTGAAAACGTTCTCTGTGTATGTTTGGCATGACACTGATATGGTCAGTCAGATTATTACTGACAATCACCATTCGTCACTTACTTTAAAAATGAACATTGTTATTTATTTCCCTACCAGAAGCCATATATGATAATAAATTCTTTTGGAGTTTAACCACAATTGTACTTCTTTGACAAATAAAGTCAAGGAACTTCAATAAGTCCTTGTGTGTTTTCGGATAATCTATTTTTGTTAATAAATGATTAATTACTTATGAACTGTCAACTTTATTATAAAGTTGTGAGCCATCATATTCTTATAGTCAGAGACAGAAGGCAAGTTTATTCTATGTGATTCATCAGTTTTGTCATGGGTCGATCTAGGATGGATAGCACCGATTACTGTGTTTGAAATCTACCAATTAGTTCCTCATTAGTTAAAGTTTGACGAGAACATTCCAATTTCTGTCTTAATATATGTGATTAACTACCTATGCAGCTGAAGTGATTTGCATAAGAAAGTACCAAATATGTGATAGTTTATGTTTTACAATGTTCCTCTTTCAGTTTCCATTTCATGGTCGAAATAATCTTGGAAAACATATCATTAGTGTATAAAACTACTTAAATTTATACTGCGTAATAAATAAGCACTGGAAAGGGATAAAAAAACTCCGAGATCACTGATGAAAAGTATGATCTCCAAAATGTATGTATGAGAATCCATCATCTCTGTTTTATATAAAGGTAACAATATTCACAGCTATGGAGTTCCTTAAGTTTTTGAGATACGTTGAATATCGAATTATACGAAAGTGGAATGTTACTAAAACAAGAGTCGATAAGATTTTATTCTATTGTAGTGTATGAAAATTTTTAAATCTTTATTCTATTAATTAGTTTTGGACACTAGATCGATAAATTTTACATTATTGCACAGATTACCAAGTTTGAAAATTCCCATGAAGATTCGGAAAGTTATTTAAAAGACGTAAAATGTCGAAATTATAAAAATAATTTAAATAGACGTTTAACATGTTTAAACTAACAAATATCAACTGGTTATAAAAGGGTCTAGTCATATCTACTTGGTATTCTCAATGAATTACTTTGTTATGTAAGTATAATCAATTTTACCTAGTTTATGGTTGAATAATTAAGGTTAATGGAAATAATATTGATAGTAATAATAATAATAGTAATAATGAGAATTATGATCATTTTCTCTTTAATTTAACAAAAACACACGAATGAACATTAATGACGTGTTAGGATTTTCTGAAGTTTCGTGACTCAGTGTAAGCTACTTCTTCAGAGAATAAATGACGTGTGTACAAATTATTTTCATTTAAAGTTTCAATCATTAATTTGATTATTTCTATTTTCTAGAAATCAATTTGACCTGCTCCAAGTTTGTTAGTTCAGTATTTTTAATATGTTTATGTCTAGTAAAGTGTTCAAAATTATTGGAATATATTCAATAAATATACTCGCTTAAGGATTACTTAGATTTAAAGAAAATTGTCTTTTCCGAAGGGGGTTCTATGGAGATTTTATTAATTTTATAAAGTTGAAATCATGAGTCAATTGAAGCTAGACCACAGTGGAAAACCTGGAGGAAGTTGATGGCCGTTTCGTCCTATTGTGGAACTCCTCGAGGATGACTCATGATTTAAACTATATAAAATTGTCTTTTATTTAATTATTTGTTTCTAAAGTCTAATTCAAATGAAATACTAATTACCACTACAAATTAATTAGGAACACCTTTTCAAATTTTAAATGGACTAATACTTATGAAAATGGTATACTATACCTACATCATATATATTCTTAATATTTTAAGAAGGAAGAGAATTTTGAAAACGCTAGTAAAAGTTATATAATTTTAAGTCAATAATAACTGCTTTTATTGTGATTAGTGAGGTTCAAAGAGGATAAGAATAGAGATGGATATCATCAACGGCCGTGGATGATGATTGTATAATACCATGAAACGACGTAAGATGGAGATATGAATTATTATATTGGTCGGACTGTAAAATCTAAGGGGGACTATTCAATCCTGAGTGCATTAATGAGTGTGAACTGATTAAAAAGTTCATACTAGAATTAACAGCTGACTAGTCCTCATTGGCTATCTAGATATAATCAACCCTTGAATGTAAAAACATCATTCAAATTGATTGATCGATACAACTTCTTTCTTAATAATGATCACGCAGTCAGCAATTATCTACTTTCCAAAGCATTCTTAATATTCTGTTGATATAAAGCCGTGACTGTATAATTTTGAACAGGCTAAGAGTGAAATAGATATGTTTTGAACTACTATGTAACAAAATTGGGAACTATTTGGCTAACGAGTATCAGAATCAAAGTCATTGAATGACATTTGAACGACACCAAGAAATAATTAGATCTCAAAAAGAATACAAACCATCAAGTTGATTCATATCCACTAAATAGAAATATGTTTATATGGAAAATTAAAAAAAAGTCTTAACTTAATCAAAAAAAGAATGTTACAATGAACAAATTAGACTTTTTATGACAAATTTACTTTGAATTGATGTACAAAAACGATTAGTTAGTGTATGGATTTGATGACAAAAAAGTTATTACATAAAACCACTTCAGTACCTATATAATAAGAATAGAAGAAAAGAAAAATAACTAAGACATATAAATCACGTATAAAGAGAGGTAATATGAAGATATTTGACTATAGTTTATCAAGTGAGGAATCAATAAATGCTCAAGTTGAAATCAATTACATCTTAAAGTATTACATAATTCTCAATTATATTCAATTATTCTCTATTTATTATTGGTGATTAAACATGAGAAGGGCAATTCCCATGGAGATATTATATTTAAATTTACAGTTTCATAACTATATTTAAATAATAAATGAATAGAGAGAAGTGAATAACGAATTTAATTGTATAAAACAATAGGAAATTGATTCTTAATTGATATATTCACATAGTACTAATTATTATTATTATCAGTAGTAGTAGTAGTTTCCTTCAAATCAACTACATATAATACACGTTTCATAATTGTCATCAACTAGATAAAATTGTATTTTACAATTTTTTTTCTGTAAAAAATATTACAAAACATTAATCTGAAATAGTTTACATTTTTATTTTGCAATAAGTTAAGTTTAATGCACTTTCGGTAGTTATCAAGAATAAATAGAGAAAATGAGAAGCATAAGATGAATGGAGTGTAAAGTATGCAAACATATTTTACACATAATGAAATTAAAACAAGAAAAAAATGAAAAAAATTGTTTGTTTGTTTTTGTTCTTGTTTATTTATGTATAAACGCCTGTTTACTGTGACCATAGTTGACAAATTTAAAGAACCATTACTACAAATTATTGATGACAAACAAATAAGGAATTTGTCAACATTGAATATTTAATCTTTTCTTAAAGAACAAACAAACAAGAAAAGATACATTTCAAAAGTAACGTTCTTCTATGTAATAAGTAATAATAGTTATAATAATAATAAAAGCAAGAAGACAATAGATAGTTTTAATTATACTGAAATAAACTATCAAGGCATAAAACATCATTTACATTTTGGTCATATATTTTGAAAAAATAAACTCTTACATTTATATTGATATACATAGATGTCAATTTTTTTGCTGTATACGTAAAGAGGATATATTAGATTACATGTATTCACATTCGTTGATTACATAATACTGTGTGTGAATCTAGACAAGTTTAAGTAAAGATAAAATATGAAGTACATAAGATTTTCCAGAAATAATAGTGAAAGAACCCAAGAAAATAGAAATTAGATTGTTTTTCTTAAATGCTGAACAAACTGTACATGTAAAAAATAAAAGCAGTATGTATATATATAATGTCACAAGGCTATTCAAAATAGAAAAGACGAATAACAATGATTCCATTTTGCCTGTCATCCTTTAGAATTTGATCTTATTAATTTTTTCTCGGTTCAATAAATATTGGATTAATACTGTTTCCATTATTATTATTATCATGTGGATATTGTTGAAAATGATTATCATAGATTTGTTTTCTATGAAAGAAACCACATCTCCACATTGTAAATATTAATAATGCTAATAATGCTAAACCTAATACACTGCCAAGTATGAATGGCCATAATGGAATTTCACGAAATAATGATACATTAATACCTTCAAATACAAAATTTTGTGATATAGCTAATGGTTGTATAGTTAAATTACTGTCAATTTTAATACCGAAAGCAGTTTCTTCAAGTTTAGCATTTGCTTCACTGACAATTGCAAAGTCAGATATTTTATAACGAAAAAATGTATCAGCCCATATCCAACCACGTAAAACAATACGTACAGCATCACCACGTGATAATCCATTCACACGACACGATATCTAAAACACAAAAAGTATGAATAATTAATAAAGATTATCTACTCAGGTGATTTACTACTAGTGTTTGAGTGTCACTTCGTGCCGAAAAAGTTTGCATAGGATGAGCGTAACAAGACAATCAGTGTTTAACAAATATAGTCTGCTATGAAGTTTATATTGTTAACAGATTATTGTAATATAAAAAAATCGTTGGATTTCGAGAAAAGAATAAAACTAAGATTTTATAGACAAGGCATTTTGCAATCTCATTTCGAGTTTGAAGTACGCAGTTGACTGAACACTGAATAGTAATCAGTATCATGTTCATCTACTTATTCAGTGTTCAAGCTGTAGTATGGAAACTAGTCCAAGTGACTTGACATGGCGAGTACTATATGGAGATGTTGTATGCTAGGAGGAAGTCGGCAGCAAACCATGAACCTTGGTCTAGTGATTGTTAAAACTGATCAGATTGAGAAACTGGGCTACAGACGTTTGAATTTACTAGAAAGCGCCAGTGATTTATAGGATTACACGTTGCTGACACGTTGCGTTGCTGACGTGTGCTAAATAATACAAAACCTAAGTCCATAATCCCCTGCTAACTACATAACATCACAATATAGTGCACAGAATGTCTAGTTACATACCTTTTTTTATATTATTTTAATATTTTACAAAAGACGTGACTCATCGGTGTAGGTATACATGATATTTCTATCTTTTATTTTTAAACTTTGGGATAGTAAATAATACCGGTAATTTTGAAAGAACACGCTGAGTTTATATCTAAGTTTAAAATATCATGTTAACCTCTATTTTTAGCAAATGTGAATTTTATTTGGATTTTCAGTTAGACAACTACATTAGAGTAAATGAGTCATTAAAAACGTTTTCTCTATAGGTTTACACGCTAAAATCAAAACTTTCAATACAGTGTTTATGAGCATTTTAAATGATTACAGAATCAACTACAAAATAACAACGTATAAACTATTCTACGCTTTTGGACAGTGGCTAGCAGTGGAATCCAGGACGCGCGTTTCGTCCTATTTGGGACTCGTCAGTTGGATGTACCTGCATCTCAGAGTGAACATCAACGCACGTCCTGGATTCCACTGCTAGCCATTGTCCATTTTTGTTCATAATGCTTGTGAATTAAGGCTATATCGAGGCAATCCTCACAGAATGCACATATGCTAATAAGAGATTGATCAATTGCAATCCTAAACATCAATGGGAAGATTAAAACAAACAATACTAAGTGAATTATTCTACACTTTTGTTCTGAATAAAGTTATCAATGTTATTAGTTAGAAAATTCTCTTAGCTACTTCTGTTCAAGGTTACTGTTAATTATACACCTTAAATATTTATTAACGAATTTTTCTCAGATGCTTTTATGTAAAATTTTGTTTTTATTAGTGGTAATTCATCTGTACGAAGTTTATTTTTAACATCTAACATGTGTTAAATAAGATCTGACTGAATTACAACTTGTTAATAGATATGTAAGAAAAGTGTTAAACAACTACTAAAGTATCATATTCTATTGTCAGTGTATAAATAACTAAGATATTCTGTGTTTCTTCCAACTAGTATAGTTTTATTTCAACAGATATGTTTCTATAAAAACCAATAAGTGATGATTAAAAATCTTTAATAAATTTGTATAACAAAATTTTTTGACATAACTTTAAGCAATTGGACTTAATCGATTATTTTTAATGTACGTATATTCGGCACGAGGCAAGCCCTAACTTGGAATCCTTAAGGGAAGCGGAAAAGAGGAAGGTCAAAGAACAAATTACGCCAGGAAATAGAATCAGATATGAAAAGGATGAATAGCAACTGGAAAGAACTGTAAAGGATTGCCCAGGACAGGGCTGGATGGAGAATGCTGGTGTGCGGCCTATGCTCCTCAACGAGGGGTAACAGGCGTAAGTAAGTAAGTAATGTATATTCGAGCTGACATTTATAGCACGGTTATTGTGATTCTTGATCCCTAGTGATGAAAATGCTTTGAGTATGATTAAAAATACTTGAAAATAAGTGATTGGTTAACTTGTTTTTGAAAATTTGTGCTCATCTGTTAAGGAAGATTGTTACGATTGGAACGTTATCGGATTCAACGTACTCAAGAACACGTTATCGGTGTCCATGACAACGTTCGAAACAATACAGTACTACTATTTTGTTAGTTATTTACTTCTATGTTTTGTAGAAAAGGCGATCACTCGAAGAATATTCACGTTTTTTTATCACTTTTCAGAAACCATTAACCTATAATTACTATTTTAAAACTAATTATTTCACTGGACAAAATGGGATGGAAAACTTTGTTAGACAAGACAAAACAAAAATAACCAAGGTATAAATGATATTCATATATTTGAGTATAAACCATAAATCCATATTGCTAAACTTCAACCAGTCATTTTACTTTGACCTCCTGGTAGCCATCTTTATCCATTCATAAACTGCTGATTTTTAATAATGAAGTGAAAAATACCAAATTATCTAATAATATGTGTTTATTGAGATGATTTTACAACGTGTTCAATGTATGTTTATTAACAGCTCTTATTTTATTGCATATGATCATTACTATTTCCCTGCTAAGATATCGAATCTTTAGTATTTTTTTAAGGCGAGACTATAATTTATGGACGATAACAGTTCTTGTATCTTGGCGAGAAATTGACTCGTCCATTTGGCTAAATAGAGTTTTGGCATTATAGCTGATGCCAGTTCGTGATGAGAAATCTAAATCTAATTCCTAACCTTAACCATAAACTGTGAATCATAATTCTAATTCCTCACACTCTTTTATAAACCTCATTTGGTTCTAGTTATTAGGTGGGCACTCTCAAGGTTACTTTAGAGTCTCTCAAAGGTCATCCATAAATTATAGTCTCACCTATTTTCACTGCGAAAATTAGTTTATCTTCACTTTTTTCAGCGTTAACTATACTACTGAAATCGTTTAATTTTATCTATTTTAATTAACAATAATATTAATGCACATACTAGTTCGAATGTAATTTTAAGATTTGTCTAGTTCTCTAAAATGTATCCCTTTTATTAACCTTTATAAGAAAGAAACAACATTTTATTGAATACTCCATATAACTACATGATTGTTTCGTCATTTACAACTTTAATTTACTTCTAATAATATTTAAATACTAAGGTAGAAGATAGTAAAGATTACATTAATGTGCAAACACATAATCTCTCTATTCACATAGGTATACGGCCCTTAAATATTTAATATATTAAAACAATCATTAATCTGTTGTATGCGTGTTCATATTATATGGATATTCTTTCTTATGTTAATGAAATTCTGATAATATAATTTACAATGCAAGTATGACGTCATATCCGAACGAAGAACAGATGAATGTTAACTGCTAGGGATTATTTATGGACTATTATTACAAATATTCCTATTGTACAGCTGTTAAGTAACTACATTATGTATTTATTCATATTTCTTTTATCGTAAACTTTCGTTTGACCTTTTGACTAATATTATACGACTTACTATTCTCAAGTTATTCTCAACCTATTAGTTACAGTCTCTTGCACTCACGGCCACTTTTAGCCTGATCCCGTCTAATTGTTAACTTTTATTTTATGGTATGATGCGGTCTGGTTTGCTTATATATAGACCACGTATGTCTGAAATATACAATTCATAAAGTGGAGGCTGAGATTGTATTCTAAACTCAACATGTAGAGCTTGGCGAGAAGGATCGATAAGGATTCAGAGCTGAGGCAAGGCTGCTAGTGTTGTTGAACGCGTCATATGTTCAGCACAAGAACAAGGTCATACGAGTTGGTATTCTGACTAGCGATTTTGTCACGTGATGATTGACGAGAGGCAAAAGTCATAACATCCGGTAAATAAATATCAAGATATTATTGCATTGAATATGTGATTACGAAATTCTATGATGTTTTAAAACTAGTGACAAGAATTTGTGACTCACAATCAAGTGACTGTTTTTGTCTACCAGTTTGACTTGTTAATTGCCAACCTAAAAAACGTCATATTCTTCCTTATTCTCGAATTAATTATCAATCAGAGCTGTATCAACAGAAATTATCAATCAGTAGTTTTTTGACAGAAATTAACAAGCATAATACAGTTTATAAGTTAAAAGCTGATTCATTCAATAAAATTTGATAATTGTTGTTATCATAACATAGTGATATCAAAGCTTGAGTAAATGTTGAAAATCCGTGAATCTTTCTGTTACCTCTTTCTTCTAGAGGTTTTCACACTCTTGCTTTTTTTCACACCAATAAAAATGTAATCCATAAACACTTAGTAAAGTGTTATGTAGTTCAACAAGATGATAAGATAAGAATATAAATTCATTTCTAGTAAGATGTAAACTTTCCAAATGCTGAAAACAATCATACTTATTGATCATTCATGTTTACAAAGTAAATTTTTGTAGAAAACTTTATCAAGACAAGGGCAACACAAATTCAAATGATTAGTTACTAACCATACAGAGAAATAAATTAAAACGTTTCATAATGAAGTGACTGAAGAGTAAGAAATTTCCGAGGTATTAGGTGATCAAATGATGAAATGAGTTTTTTTTTTGAATTCTAATATTAAAAGTGTTCTTCTACTTTATGGAATCTATTGAAGTTGTGTAGAGTAAATTTCTGATTAAGATTTTGATCTAATTTATCATATCACCTTTGTTTTATTTTCAATCTAATTAAATTGCATAGATATTGTGTAGCCATTAAAAGAAACTTCCGTATATTGGTTATTTTCAGAATTGAGTTGTGGAGATTGTTGAATTTCATTAAAATCATGACCCGATCAATGTTAGACAACCATTGAAAACTTGAAAGCATTTAAAGACCGCTTCGTCCTAATGGGAGGCTCCCCATCAGTGAGTGTTCACAATTCTACAGATGAGACTCGAACGCATGTCCTTCGGTCTCATGCGAACGCCTAACTTCTAGACCATCAACCTGGCATCCAATAGTGATTAGTTAAATAGTTTATTTCGATCATAAATCCACGTGTATATAATGAGTATCTAACAACCTGTTAATCAATATTCACATCGGCACATGAGAGATTTTAATAGTTGGAATATTTTCAGTACAGCCAATTCTGATATAATCTTTATTCACAATCGTTATCTATTGTCACGTATTTCAGTTATTTTGGATGAAGTGTACGTAATTTAAGTTAATTAACAACAATGTAATGATGTTACTTTGATAACTTCCTTTAGTCGGTTAAAGGTACTAAATAATAAATGTCGGAATCAAATATTAAAGAAGTTGAAATGTTTTAAAGTGTTCACTAAAAATTTACTTTTATTAAATTATGAATTGATGATATTATCAGCTAATTGTCTGATATACATTCAATACACAAAAACTCTCCAGGTAATTGTACTTTTTTCCACTGTCAACAAGATATGTAATATTAAGTGTCTGAAAAAAAGCATCCAATTACAAAAAACGAAATCCCTAGATTATGTTTTACACAATTTATTAGATTGATCAATCAAGGTAATATGCAACTGTGTTAGGAATGCAGTTTAACAAATTCCTATTACATAAATAGATATGTGATATCTGTTGTGAAAATTCTTTCGTTTGTTAATATTCCCTTTTAGTTTGTGTTTGATTTAATTCTCCACTTTTTTCGTCTCTTTTTGTCTACTCTACATACATTCTAGTACGCCTCTTTTTAGTTTAATTTTGATATAGTACAAACATGCATTCCTTTGATTAGTTTTTTCCCCATCAAATAACACTATGATGATTAATTCAATGTTTTTATGCGTCGAATATTTTAATTAATTAATTACTAATTTACATATGTAAAGGATGCTACTAACAAGATTGTTGGTATTTAGTGTGTAGCAAACTGTGATGTCAAAGTTGCTACAATTGTCAGATGAAGCGAAAAGCTTTAGTGAATAGAAAGCACGGCGTTGTCAAAACATTTGAAAACCAAACGAAAAGGTAGTTCAGATGTTAGGACACAACAAAAGATCCAAATGAATAGTTAAAGGCTATGTGTATATATCTTGTAAATACTTTGTAGCTTCTCGCAATAACTATACATTAGTCCTGACTATTTTCGTGCTATGTTTCCGTACTATATTTTCTTTATGTAAGTAGAAAAGATGATGATGGCAATGACCTATGTGAACAGAGTTGGATTGAAAATACTGGTGGGTGGCCTGTGTTCTTCCACGAGGAGTAACAGGCGTAAGTAAGTAAGTAAGACCTCTTTGAAGAAGAGTTGAAGTTAAGTTGGCGGATTTTATTTATTTTGGACGTTTTAAGAATATTTACTTCATGTCCACTGCTTATTTAATGCAAGACAATTGGATTTGTAACATGACTATATATAATAAATTCTCTATTTTGATAAGTAATTCTGGGCTAAGTTTTCCTATGTTTACAGAGAAATTTATGATAAACTACATGAGAGTTCACTATAACTGTAACTTTAAATAACTAAGGCGGGAAATTTAATTAACAATTGGTTCACTGATTCAAACTAACTACAATTATGTCATAGTGAGTTCTTGATTATTAGGCTTCTAACTGTATTGCTCATTGATTTTTAATAGCATTCTATATATATTCAATCCGTTAAGAATAATGCTTACGCATTAGAAATATCTACAGTTATGATGTTGCATAACAAATGACAAAAGCAAACAGGATGGAGTACATTTTCAGAGATTTAAAAAAAATAGTCATGTTGGTGGTTACGCCTTAAAAAGTCATAGATAGAGATATATGAATCTTAAAAAAATCAAGTTATGTAGTTGAATTACTCATCAAACAATGAGTAGAATCAGTTTGTACTTTCGATACATCGACAATCCAATATTTTAGTAATGATGTGTTTTTTGAAGTTATTTGTTGAATGCACCATTATCCAGCAAAACTGAATAAGAAGAAAATATGGCTAGAAGATTGAATTGATGATATCAATAATAATAATACTATTCTCTTCTGCGTAGTTCCAAACAAATGCCTATTTATTAGTGTGGGGATTTATGGAGATTTTAGTATTTTTACAGTTGAGTTCAATGGTGGTCTAGCTTAGGTTGACTCATGAATTCAACCGTTAAAATATTTATTTATTTAAAAGAAGGTCAATAATTCCTTCTATCTTCTATCGTTCCATGGATACCAATGTTTAATTTTATAAAATTATTGATGATTTATGGATGCTGTCTAGACGGCAAAGTAGATTATTGTGTTATTACTTACAATTAAAGATATATATGGTCTTAAACTTATTTAATAGTACTATTTAATGTCAAGCTGTACATTATCAACATATAATACTACTCTTGTTAAACAACAATAACAATCAAAACTTACAACTGCACAAACTGGATATCCCAAATCAGAAACTTTTTCACCACATTTGATAATTTCTTGTTGACGTTTTCTTACACCATGTAAAATTGACCTAGCATTTCTAATTGAATCTTTTGAATTAATTGGTTGATTATCGTCAATAAAATTGTGTTTGTCATTTAGATAAGATAGTTCCTTATTTTTTATTTTCCTATTTACTGAACGTCGATATCTTGTCATGGAGAGTTGTGATCGAAAACTTCGACTTAATGATCGTGATTTAGAGGATTCTTCTACACGATTACGATGAACTGCATTTAAACGTAAAGGATTTAATGCCCATTCAGGTGTTATACATAATCCACGTACATGACCTTCTGCGCTAACAACCTGGTTTAATTTAATAACAAATAATAAACGGAAGCTAAGGGTTAGATATCTTTATAAATGTATCCAGAAACAATTCAATGTGTTATCTAAAGTTGATCAAAATAATATGAGGGAATTTATCGTCAATCTTTTCTAACCGTTTATAAAACACTATTCTACAATGTTTGTCCTTGTATAAATTTGGTTGGATACTTTCTTGATTGATATTATTACTAACTAATCAATATACATGCAAATTCACAAAATTAGGATAAGATATAATTTTAAAGGGAAAATATGAATGGAAATTCAAAGTTGTATAAAATAATCTTCAGAAGATATTTGTATTAATAACATACCACTGGTTGAAGGTTTTAGATGGTTGCCAATTAATCTTAATTATTGGCTTTCATCACTGACTGTCAGATACATTCTTTTACTTTCTAGTATGAAGTTACAAGCGTTTAGTTATGTTATAAATCGAGTGAAGTTTAAGATGTTAAGTACTGGATAATTATTGAGTATTCGTCACAAGATCTAAGCGAAAGCATATGATTCCTGATGAATCACAAACGAAATAGCCATCGAGTATGCTTTGGTTTTTGAAGGTACCTCATTTGAAAAACGATTTCACAATGGTCATTAAAAATGTTTGACTGTTCGTTAACCTTATCAAATAATGGATTGCAACTGATAAAGTAAACAATCTACGTAGGTATTAACTGACATAAATAAATCCTATCAAGACAGTTCATTTTATAATATGTTTAATAAAACTAATTAAAATAATAATAAGGTCGATAAGAGTAGTTGTGTATGATTTAACAAAATAACTATCGAACAAAACTTCATCCGGAGTTAATATAAACAGCTTACATCCGGCGATATATTTTCAAAACGTGGAGGTCCACCATCTTCTGCTTGATATCTAAGTCGATCTAATAGATAAACTAAATATTCACCATCTCTTGTTTGTATAGGAATTGTTAAATTAACCCAAACATTTTCCAATGGTGATGGGCCAGCATTTGTAACAAGATAAATATGTTTTAATTCTGGACCAATTGTTTCGGGATGAATTCTTTGCATTTCATATGGTTGTACAGAAAAATTCCGAAAATCAATAATTGTACGATCCAATGCAGATGATGAAAGCTAATCAAAAGATAATGTTTTTTTAGAAAGCAAAACTTAGACAAGTTGGAGAATTTATAATTTTGGAAAATAAAAGCCATGCTAAGATGGTTTTATCATTATCAAAATATTACCATTAAATTAGAAGCATAATAATTTTTTAATTTATTAAAACTGAATCAAATTATTCTTTGATTTTTCAGTGGTATGTTGATTTAATAGGTCATCTCTTTTATATTTGGATAGATGCATGGATTAAGGTTAAAACCTGATAGAAAATATTCATGTCTTGTTTCTTGACGTGAATACGTACACGGACATACAAGCTCAAAGTAATTGCTAAACGATAATCACTATAATGTTTTATTGCGATTACCATCCGATCTAAGTAAGAAAGCTATTGGAAACGTGAAACCACTAAACAGCTGTTTTGTTCTAGTATAGGAATCATCTACGACCTCGCAACCAGGAATTAGACCCAGAACCTTTTACCTCAAGATTTCGAGGAAATTTAATCTTCACAACCGTCACATTGATATCTGTAATATTTATTCGGTAGACTCATTTGTAGCTGAATATCTGATACCATAATCGACTGATTATTTCTGTCAGGATAGTATACAATTCTGAGTGTGCGAAACGCTAATACTTATCAACAATGTGTTGGCATTTGTAACGAAAATAATAGGCTCCATCATCAGCGCAAACATCAACATTTTAGTAAAGGTATCTCTAGCTCCCAAGTCTCAGACAAAACAAAAGGCGAGTCCTTGATTCCTCTGTTAGCTATACACCATATATATACCAAGATGGTGTTTAATTTTTCATAAAATATTTACTCTTCCAGGTAAAACAACTACCGTTTACAGAAGTCGGTAATATTGTTTTATTCTATCTCCGTTGTTTGATTTTCATTTACTTCTGAACCTACTAAATTGCTCTCTCATTATGTTAATTGACGTTGTGTTAACTTGAACTAGGGACTATCTTGACCGTGGCCGGTTGTATTTTAATTACATATCTTAAAACATAAGTGCTGATATACCATTATTGTGACATAGAACACTTGATAACGGTAATATTTTTCCAATTTTTTGATTATCTACTAAGAAAATGGTTACTTTCATGAAATGAATGGTTTGTGGGTAAAAAACTTCACTTAGATCAAGTAACTGTCAAGTTGACAATTAGCGTGATACTAACAGCTAAGTAAATGCGAATTTTAGATATCATAATAATGGTATCATTTAATTAACTACAGCTGAATCGCGTAAAACCAATCAACTTTCGAAAAAAGAACGGTCAAATCGTAACCTAATCGTAGTATATTAGATTTAAATCTGTGAATTCATACTTTAAAAACAGTTAACAAATGAAAAGTCATCGATTTTTTCAGTTTCGTGTTCTAACGAGTTGTATTTAATAACCCAATGATTTCAGAAAGAAAAAACTAACTTTACAGATTGGCATGATATGAATGGAATATGTAATTTACTATTCTTTAACTTTCAGGTTTTACATTTAAATTAGCATACATCACTGATTGATTTCATTGCATTTAGCGTCTACTACCCTAATTGATAATTTCATTTTGATATTCATAATCCTAGCTTATTGTATTGATATGAAGAGCATCAACTTAAATCTACGAGTATCTACCTATGATTCTATAACTGATTTTCACGTGTTTTTACATAGTTCACTATTCTTAGTATCAATAAGCAGTGGAATGTAGTAGATACAACAACAATGATAACTTACAATAGCTTTAAAAACAAACAACAAACCTTTTAAATAATCATAACAAAATTGTTCAATTCATCGCAATATAAATCGTTGGACATTGAAAATAGCATATTTCTTATTATTATCTTTCAGTTTAAATTAAACATATGTTATTAATTATCATATATTGCAACAAACAAGTTACAATATACAAGATTGGTTTGTGTACTCTTTAAATTTTCTGCCAAACTAGAAGTAAATATCATCATCATCATCATAGATATTTTTACTTCAATGAAAACTATATTATCATTACAATCCTTTCTTCCATGAATTGTAGGTGTCACATTCCATTGATATTGTAAACTATTCATGTCAAAATTTCAATGATTTGTTCAATGTTAGTATTACTTTTTTTGTTTAGAAAAATACACATAAACGGATAAAAGTATTGACATTTACCTATCTGTTGATTACCATATAATTTCCATAGTTTAACTTAAATCTAATCAATATACTTCAATTAATTTCTCAATGTTATTATTTGATGGTTTTTATCATGGATTGGTCGACAACAAGTTTGGATGGTCATCGCAAATTGATAGGAATAAGTCAAGTAAACTATTGGATCCCAGATTATCGGTCTGAAAATTAAGCTCTCTCCATTAGTCCTGGTTTCGATATCAACACTATTGAGAAGACTTATACTTGAGCGAAACAACTGTTCAGTGGTTTCTGGTTTTAGTGCTTGTTTAATTAATATCAGTTCGTATTATAAACTATGAAATCTAATAATCACTAAAATCCCCCATATTAGCAATATCATTTTATGGCTATTGAGCACCTACTCAATACAAGATATTGTACTTCAATGGTCTTTCTTAAAGTTTGTGTTACATCATAGTACCAGGAAATAGGTTCTATAATCCAACTAATAAATGAACAATTAAAGAGCTGGTTAGTAGTCAGATGAATAAACATATTTTGTAAAATATTGAACAATCAACTAAACAAATCACTTTGTTAAAACCCTTTTTTCTCGTATTGTGTTGCTTCTATAAACGATAAATAGTTATTATTCAGACTACGTAGTCTTCGCTGTAACACAAAATGAAATTATTTCCGACAATGTTTATAGAAAAAGTTGATATTGGATAGTGTTTATTTTAACTCAACATATGGTAACTTTCTTCCTCTCTGTGGTTATGACGTCTCCTCTATGATTCAGTCATATATCAGTGGGATTAATGATAAGGGAGACATTGTGAATACAAAGTTCTATCGATTTCCCTATTATATGATACCATATTTACATATAATTAGATATTTTAGCATTCATATTACCAAAGGAAGAAGGGTTTGAACAGAAAACTTTTGAATACAAAAGTTGAAGAAAACTGACACTAAGTCAATAAATAAAGGATTTAAGAGCTTCTATTCGTCCAGCAAGCCTCTTTCGTCACTAGAACATAAAAGATATTACTGATTTACTTTTAATACCATAACTAGATATAGTGACTGGAAATCCTATTGCTTACGTAATGCATAAAGTAGGTGTTTGAACGCTCATAAAACAAGATAAAATTGAATATAGTAAACAACCTTAGTTGATTTGATTTATTTACCTTTCGTCTCTTATGTTCTAAGTGAGATAAAATAAAGTCTCATGTTGAAGTTGCTTAGAAACTGACAACATAAGTTGTCTATTAGTACTCACAGTTGGTACTTTTGTTATAATGAATCACGTTGTAGATGGATTGCGGATGGTAATAAGTTCCAATACACCCATTTTGTTCTATTTGATACTTATCAGCTGAATGTATCCAGATTCCGGTATTGTTTTTCAAATCGATACTTGATCCCAGTATCTTGTCTTTCAAAATGCCAACACATTATCTGCAGAACCACTGCACCCAGATAACCACAAACTTACTTAATGGTACTGAAGTCAAGATGCACGAATAACAACGAAAACTGATCTATATCCTGTCCTGATTATCAACAACTGGATACCTTAAGCTTTTACAAATTCTTACGGCAATTCACTTTTACTGTAACACACAGTCAGTTTTATGATAAAATCCTTTCCAATCACTTGAAGTTTATGTTAATTAGAACAAGGTATAGTTCTTCAACTAATTACAATCTCATTTTGTTCTATATATATATATATATATATATATATATATATTTGACGAGTTTTCATTTCTTTAGTCAGATTTCTGAACTTTTCATAGTAACAATAAAATTATAAGGAAAAAACGAATTACATCTTAAACTTAAATAATAATAAGTTAAACCATCAAAGAAGTTCTTGTTTATAATTCAAAGGTCATGACATGATCAATAGCCCGAATGTGTATATAAAAAACACACCGTCATTATTATAGTTGAAAGCATGAGTTAATTGAAGCTAGATTCCAGGTTTTCCTTGGTGGAAAATACTAAATCTGCACAAAACCCCTTCTCATTACATAACATGTAATTTTATGAGTACGTAATTACTTATAAGAAATCGATATGATAGTTGTAAATAGTTGCTAAACTTCAAAAGATGATTTATTATGGTAATTGAATTATAAAAGTCAAGTTTATTGTTATAAGAATGTGATCAAAATAAAACTCTTAGAATAATATTTACTAGAAACAAAATCATTTTCGTGAATTTTCTTGACAATTATATACATTTTCAGAAAGGGGTTTTTGTGGAGATTTTAGTAATTTTATATGGTTGAAATCATGAGTCATTTGAAGTTACACCACCATGGAAAACCTGGAAGCACTGGACGGCCTTTTAGTCCTATTGTGGGACTTCTCAGCAGCGCGCACCCACCATCCCGCCTCGCAAGATTCGAACCCAGAACCTACCAGTCTCGCGCGCGAGTGCTTAACCACTAGACTGCTGAGCCGGCATCCAACGGTGTTAATGTGTAACTGATTACCGCCATTATTACTTCGAACATTTTTTCTCATGTGAATTAAATAAATCACATAGATAATTCATTTTTTATATCATTCCTATTCTTATTATTATCAAAATTACTACTTTTAAAATAAAAACATTTGTTTTAAACTTACTTCAACTTTAGCAGCCAATTTTAATTGATAAGTAATACTTGCTTCATTATTATTTATATTATCATCTGTATTTCCACTTATCACTTTAGCTGTTATTGTTAAATCTTTAGGAATTGATAAAGTATCACGTTTATTCCGTTTAATTTGATATGAATGATAAATAGGTTTAACGTATGATTCCTCATAATCATTATTATTATCCCTCTTTACAGAAGATGAATGTCTGTAAAAATCAGTTTTCATTTCATTATCATCTTCATGTTTTGGTTTATTGATCGTTCTTGATAATGAATAATCAATTTTTTTCAGATCATCATTATAAATATGTGAATGATCATGATCTGAAATATTTTCTGGTTGATCATTTACTGGTTCATCTAATTGTCGAAATGCTCCAGCTGTATTTATTTGAAAAGTGAATGAATAAAAATGATCATTTCCTGTATAACTTAATGGATCATCTAAATTACAAATCAGTTGTGTTTGCTAAAGAATAACAGGAGAGGGGGGGGGAGAAAATGAAAAAAACGAAAATATTAGTCATTCAAAAATGTGCCTATTTTAGAGATTATGAAAGTTAACGAGCCTACAGTAATATCTGTTTTAAACGTCATTCAACTATGACCTATTATAGTGGAAATGAATGGTTACATGAATAAAGCAAAAAATTTGATCAATTACCCAAACTGAACTTAATTTTTGCTAAAAGCCGAACAGACAACCCACAAAGTAATCACATATTTTCACATAGTTATACATTTGAAATTTACCAAGACTTAAGCTGTATGTATTGTTCAGTGTAAAATGCAACATCCGATTTTTGTATATCAATCAAATTTCCAACTTGGAATGTTTATTAATGTGTTGTAGATTTTCATTTTGAAAAAGAAAACAATAATGAGTAAAAAAAGTTATACAAGTTAGATATAGAACAAAACTGATAAATGAACAACTGTTCAAATATTTTCAATCACCTCGTTTCTTATACAACCGCCTTATTAATAATAATAATAATACACATAACATACAAGACAATATTATTCTTATTTCAGTAGCATGATTCACGATAGAAAAGAAAAAAAGAAAGAAAAATTTGAAAAATCAAATTTATTGATAAATGTCCAATGAATCTAACCTTAAATAAATGATATCTGTTATATCTGGAGCTAAGATTCTTGTTATGCCGCGTACTACTAGACTACTTAAACGATTGAACCCATAACGTCGCAAGAGAGAAGACAAAATCTCAGTAAGTAGGAATGTTATCCCCAAACAATGTCAAATATAATACAAAAATCTCATGTATTTATAATTTTTGGCTGGAGGTAAATCATCATTTCGGACAGCCAATAGGCACATAGAGGGCTCCTTCTTATCCATCCAATAGGGAAGCTTCAAGTCGACATTCTAGAATGTTCCTGTAACAGTGATTGGATGGAATGTCCTTGGCTCTTTCTGAGCTTCTTGAGTTTGCTAACGAACCATCCTTACAATAACTGACATATTCTAACTTTGAGATTTATTTTGTTCGATTTAAATTTTTTATTTATTTACATTTTATGGATTAGTGTAATAAAATAAAACATTATTCTTATAAATAATAAATGAGTCATTAATAGAAATCTATGCGAATTTCATTAGATGTATAACGATGTATATCGATTTGATTTGTTTTATTACATTCCCCGAAATTCAATTTTTATGAAAAATCAAGCCATTAAAATGGGGGGGGGGTTAGTAAAAAATGTAATTCATCGTTTTTTTTTATCGATTTTATATCCCGATTCCTTAATTTGAAATATATATGTATATATAACAGAAATTAATATTCACCGGGGTCTTTTTAAAATAATAAAAGTTATGTTTTGTTTTAGGAGCTAGTTAATAATGAAATATAAATTATTAATTTGGGTGAGAAATTGGTGCCTAAAAAAAACAGAATGTGTTCTTTTTTCCTGTCGTCCAATTAAGGTTATAATACATCAAATATACATAAATAATTGAGTAAAATTAGCTGAGATAGAGTCGCATTCAGCGGTTAGCGTTTTGTTTTTCCAGTTCAATTTAAGATAGTTTCAACATTTACTTTTAATACAATACATACACTAAATTTTGAAAGTTATGTAATCAAAGATGTGAATAATACGTGAAAAACTGATGTTTTAAGACAAGATTTTAATGTTTCATTGATAAGAAATTGTATTACAAGAATTGGTTTGTTGTTGTGTAGAGTTTGTAAACAATACTATAAAATATAATAACTAGCTGACGAGTCCCAAATAGGACGAAATGCGCGTCCTGGATTCCACTACTAGCCACTATCCATCTCTGCTTACCATGCTTGCGAATTAAGGCTATATCGAGGCAATACGCACATATGTCAATAAGAGACTGATCAATTGCAGTCCTAAACATCAATGGGAAGATTTAAACAAACAATACCCAGTGAATTCAGTGTTGGTAATGCAAATAATTATTTAAGATTAAATTGATACTAAGCCTATGGTATGGTGCTATCATATAAAAGCAGAAATGTTACCTTGAAAAATTATTACTAAGAACACTTTGAAAGTTTTCTCACTTAAGTATAATAATCAACATCATATTTTGGTAATAACAGCGAGATTAACATATTGGTTAGATACTTAGTTTCATGGATTTTCTTGATGAAATGAAAATTACCGATATATTTTTATATGTATGTTAAATTCACCTAAAATTTCTCAGGATTAAAATAATTTCAATAAGAACAGCAATATTTTTTTAAGTAACCGATTGCTTCACTGAATATAAATGAAGACAGTTCCACAGTAAAAATTGTATTCCTGACAAAATCACTTAAGTTGTACATTCGCATGTATAATTGTTTTTTAAATATTAGAGTCTATGGAAGTATAAAAATAGATTACATTACATCTTGCCATTTTAATGTTCGTCAAATAGATAACTATCACTCGTATTTCTGACCCGCAAATTTTTTCATCCTCTTATTCCCCTCTAACCTCTTGATCATTACATAGCCTTCTTTTGAATTTCGTATCGTTTTTTTGTATCAAAGCATTAGACTATTTTCACACTTTAAATCATCAGTTAGTCTAAGCTAGATCACTACTGAAAACGTGAAAACACTGAAAGGCCGTTTAGTCCGAGTATGGGACTCTTCAGCAGTACGCATCCACTACAATAATACAATCTCCATATATCTCCATTCTGATAGTAATCATGTGCTCGATAGTGATTAGCCTCAAGATGTAACTGCTGAAGTTATGACCGATGGAGTCCAATCTGTGTCGGGTGTAAGATAGCTATGCGCCTCAAATAAAGGATGAACGGTTGTCCAAGAACACACATTGATTGAATTTAGATATTAGTCTTGTTCGATGTTGGCTCACGCGTTCGCACGTGAGACCGAAGGTCATAGGTTCTAGTCCTGCATGCAGGACGGTGGACGCGTACTGCTAAGTTTCTAGGTCTAGCTTAGATGAACTAGTGATTTCCAATGTGATCTCTTTTCATTCTCTAAAATCATATATATTTAACAAACAACTATAAATACGAATTTATGGCTCAAGTAAATGATTTCATAGGGAAGAAATTTTTCCCCACTGAATTCTCTTTATTCCTATTGAATATTTTAAAGTACTTCTTAATTATTGGTTATTATAATTATGAGTAGGTAAATAGTTATGATAGTCAAATGAGGTCATCGGAAATTTTTTAGTATCCAACTATACACATTAAAGATAAACATAAATTCATTATATTTAATTTTTTATAAACAATGCAATATTTATAGCTATAAATGGAAAAGAATTCAAAATGAAAAGCTTGAAAATACGTTTATAATTACGTGGAAAAATTCACACAGACTACTGTTTTATGTAACCGAAATTTAGGAGATTTATTGGATATTTAAACTTTCCTTATTAAGGTAGCTAATGAAATTACATCTTTTTTATTATAAGCATAGTTTAAAACACATGGTATACTAATCATATACTTGTTCACTGGTTTTGCATATGAATCATAGGAAGATTTTATCCACAGATCAACAAACTGAAGATATTTAGTTGAAAATAATTAAATTTTGTTGAAATCAACTGAATCCAAATTAACGTTCTCTTATACATAATAGACTGTCTTGGGAGAAGCTGAATCTGTGTATACGGAAGGATTGGATGCTGCAACTTCTTTGCCTAGACATAAAATAATGTTATGTGATTCTTAATCAAGTTCAGTCATGTTGCTCAGATATTATGAACTCTCAATTCTTATCTTCCCCTTCACATGAAGTATTTTTCGCTCATTATTGATCTTTTCTAATTTACATGACATCAGATTATCCTATAATAATTACTATTATTACTACAATGATATTGGCTCAGTACCCTGATTACGTTTTCTTTTGTTTTACGTATTAGCTCATTACTTCAATTGTAAGTACTTGAAGTATGTATTATGTATAACACTGAATAGGTCAATTTAAGCTAATGTAAGTATGCGAAATATTAATCATCGTAATATAAAATCAGAAGATATCTAATCATAAAAACTTAGGAATGAATTTATTTAAAATAACTGTTTGTTGAAATATTATAATTATTGTAATGAACGCATCAGAGCAAATTATAGACTAACTTTCATATCACTCAATGTCACAGTTTGACATAATAAACCTTCTGGTATACTAAAACTCAATCGATCAGGAAATACCATGTGTAATTGAGTAGAATAAGCATTTTCACCTAAATTCCCAATATGAACAGTAATATTTCTTTGACTAACACGTTCTCTAAAATAAATAATTGATTTATCTGTTGGACCTTCAGAGATATCGATCATTTGAACTTGTAAATCAGGTCGACATATATTATCAACACCACAGGCTGGATTGGAAAATTGCATTGAACGACTAATAAAGGTTCGATTGCCCAAGAATGGATGCAATATCCATGATGATATTGATTTGTGTTCAACAAAAGACATTGGCTCATGTACAGGGTTTAGTGTTACATTAATACGTACAGGTTTCCATAAAAGTGTGCTAATTTTCGAGGTTACAGGTTTAACAATAAAATCAAATAAAGTTATCCGACTAGAGTTTTCTTCCATCAATTCATCGGTTTTCAATTCCACAAGCATATCAATAATTCCTTTATCCGTTGACTGGTAAATCGTTTGTTTCCGTGTTGCTTGTATAATGAGACGTTTATTTTCAGGCTGTTCAACATCTGAATCCAAATCAATCGATAGTCGAAGTTTCCAATCTTTAATTTGTTTTAGTAAATGTTGTTTACCATTAATTCGAGCAGATAATTGAATTGAAAAATAGCACTGTTCATCACAAGTTAAAGTATCTTTATATCTCCATGATAGGGTTGGTTGTGTTGGCAGTTCCCAATTTGGTAAATCAAACCATAAAGTGTTACGTCCACGAAGCATTACAACCTATTTAAATCAAGATAATAATTAGATAAAATTCTAGATTTAAATGTTGACATTCACGTGTGATTTAAAGATTGACAAATTCAATGTAGAAGATGCAAAGCAATTTTTAAATCTGTTGAACACCTTACTTTTAAATCTATTAGAAATATACATATAAAATCGATTGATAAACAAATATGTGCTGATAGGTAGTTTGATATTTACCACAGTCCGTCCACCATATATTCAGTGACATCACAAACACCTGGAAATGTGTACATCTGTAACACTAACATAACATTAACTAAACCCTATAAACACATAAGCATCAGTTAGCATTCATCATGAATTAGACCGAAATAATATAAAAGAAAAGCAATTAATTTGGAAGCAAATTTCACTACAAATATAGAATATCATTTATTCAGCTGCTGAGATGGTTACATTTTAACCAAGATCGACACAGAACTCTATTATATTCCGTACAGAATACTATATGATGTCATCATCGTGATGTTTCAGTTATTAGAATAATTTACCCAGTGGTGGCATTAATCTGAATACAAATATGATTACTTCAAACTAGTCATTTCTTTATTGTAAATTCAATTATTGGATTTCTAATACTACCATGTGGCTTTTGTTTTAATCTCTCGTCACAGTAAGCCTTTCCTTATTCAAGGAAGATCTTTTTAATATCCAAAATAGTTATAATTATTATACACATGTAATGGTAAAAACTGTTAGAACTTATGGTCAGAACGATTGTTAAGGTAAATGATATACGAAGATATGGAAGTAATTTTGAATATATTCCGCAATAAGAGGATACAAGTATCTAGCGTTAACTATTTCTTATACATGAAGTGAAATAAACTTATAATTAAATTCTATCAATTAGTTTGTAAAACCTAAACAATAATAAGAAAAAGATGGAAGAAATCATCCCACAAGGCAATTCACATGACCTTACGCAACAAATACTTTCAAATTAGGTAATTTACAATTATATTTGTTGCGTAAGTTTGTTTTTTTGCTTTCATTGTAATGTTTTCGCTTCCTCCATCAAACATATTCCCAGTGTATCAACTGCCTACAAATAAAATCACCAATACTATGCACTAATAAATGAATGAACAATAATGTAAAGTTTGACATTTGACATTTTCCCAAATGTTTTGACGTTTGATTTCCTAAACTCTCTTCATATCAAACAAAATTTGTTTGCTTGTATATTCTTAACGAACAATTAGCTGGTAAATATCAATTCGGTTAATTGATAATTAATGTGTAATAAATTAGTAGAAAAAAATGTTTGTTTAAAAAGCACTGTATAAAGAAATAGAATACTATTATTAGAAGTCCCGACAGTAGTTTAAAAATTATTTATGAAAATAGTCGTTGTGAATAAAACACAGTGGATACAAATAAACAATGTAATCGTTACAACAACAGAAGTATTACAGGTACACTTCACTGGTTTTTAAATTAGATAATAATGTCTTTTTATATCTAATAGTTAACCAATACCTTTTGTCATTGTGAAGATGCTTGAATCTTAGTGAGATCAACAGTCGATCTCAGTAAGATAACTGTTAAAAACCTGGGAGTATAATATTGTGGATTGATTGATATTAAACTTTCACACTATTGGATCTCCGTTCGTTAGCCTAAAGGTCAAGTGTTCGTGTATGTGACTGATGGTCTTTGCTTCGATCTTCGGCTGTGGGGTCGTAGATCTTCACTAGAATGATGAAGCTGTTCAATAATTTCAGGGGTTTCAATGGTTGTCAGTTTAAATCAACTCGTGATCTTAATGAAAGTTTTTATTCCGAGAATACGTTCTTTATTTCAAATCTATATTATTTACATTTACTATTTTTTTCCTTACACTGATGCTGATATTATTACTTTGGCATTCATCTTATTTATTTCATCTCAATGTGTCGATGTAAACTTTAGTAACTTAGACCGATATAAATTTTTTGATTGGTTCTTATATTACTTATTTTCAAATGATTTTTGATTGACACCAGCTTTTTTCACTGTAATTTCGGTTCTTATCCATTGTTTCATTGAAAAAGGCTATTGACCAGTAAATTAGATTTGAAGAAATAAAATAACGCCTTAAGTTCAGTATACCTTATCAGCTATTCAAGCCCTGTTCTATTTCAAACAAGTTATTTCCAGTGTTTATGTGTTGTTAAGTATATGATAATACTAATGGTCAGGAAATGATCGGCGTTGTTAACAAATTGCTTGAAATATAATTTGTAGTAATCTGTAGAGAAAAAGCAATACAGATCATTAAATAAGATGTATAAAAGAGGGGAAAAATAAATACCCTTTCCCTAAGAAAATCTTCAATTAAATCACATACTTGATCACTTTCATAATCTCCGATTACAAGATCAGGAGCATGGTTTCCGTCTAAATCATATGAACCAGATAAACTCCAACCAAATGCTTTGAATAAACGTGGAACGTCGGATGCATAATCATTAGTGAAATCAGTACTGCCACACATTGTTACAGGAGATTGTTTAGGTAAATCAGATGGCCATATAGTCTATGATAAAAATAATTGATATAGTTATATATATATATATATATATATATATATATATATATATATGTACATTTAAAAAGCGTGTTAGCTTATCAGATCGTCGATAATCTTTGATAGAAAAGGTATCTATGGCAAACATCAAACCATAACATACAATGAAAGTTCATTTTGCAAATTAAATGAGCGGTATTCATTAGTCAATGTTGAATGGATTCAATCCACTTGGATTCAATCAGTTATGTTCACTTTTAGAGGTTTGACTACATCAATTGATCATTTTTTAATTTATATAAATCTCTTGATTCAGATAGCTTTTTGATCAGCTTCATTCAAGCTTTTATTCCATCTCCATTAATGTAACTATTTATTGTTATTATTATTATTCGATTACAAAACAGATTCATTTAAGTGAAACCTATTTTTAAAACAAATTTGAACAGTCTATGAAACAAAAATCAACTTTGGCAGTGAAATTCAAAGACACCAATAAAAATAGCGTTCTATAAAAACGTATGACAATAATTATTTATAAATTCTTATTATGAAATCAACCTTTTCTTTCTTTAGACAAAACTAATTGTCTACTTAGATCACGGAGGAGTAGCTAATTAAAACAAAGTTTCAGAGAGTTCAATTCATCAGTATTAAATGATGAAGAATATGAAGAAGTGACTAACTGTAAAGTCGTTTACGTAATACATTTTATTGGAAGTGTGGCTATCGTTAGTTAATCTGAGTTTAAGCACATGTCTAAGTATTCACTATTTTATTCTCGGAGTTTTTCACATCAATTTATTTTGAACTAAGATGATAAATACTGTTTCATAATTTCAGTTTTATAATGAACAGTCGTTTAACAGTTAAATCATTTATCTCTTATCTATTAAATCAGAGGTTTATATATTACTCAGCCTAATTTGGTCTGAACAACTGATTAATATCACTAACCTATACTTAAATAGAATAAAAATAATTATCAGAAAGCCTGGTATTAACCCTTAATTGATAAATAATTTACATTCTATATCAATCAACAGTTTTTCTTCCTGAATTTTCATTATCAGAATATAATTTATTTGGATAGAATTACTCCAGTGAATATGGTACTCAGACTAACTTCAAAAAATTTAACTATTATTAATAGAATGGGGTTTTATGGAGATTTTAGTAATTTTATATAGTTGAGATCATGAGTCGATTAAAGCTAGACCACCACGGAAAACCTAGAAACACTGGACGGCCGTTCCGTCCTATTTCAGGGAATCCTCAGCAGTGCGCATCCACGATCCCGCTTCGCGAGATTCGGACCCAGGACCTACTACTCTCGCGCCATAGCACTTAAGCGATAGACTACTGAGCCGGCATCCAACGGTGTTAATGTCTAACTTCAAACAATTTACGCAATTGAGCAACCATTCACCAATGTCTTCAGTGAGTTGTTATCTCCCAACAGACCTGGTTGAACTCCACTAGTTACTGCTTCTCACTAGAACTCCAGGATATACCGAATTGAGCCAGTCACTAGTGAGCATATGATCATTGTCAGAAGGGGGTTTTGTGTAGATTTTAGTAATTTTATATAGTTGAGATCATAAATCAATTGAAGATAGACCACCATGGAAAACCTGGAAGCACTAGACGGCCGTTCCGTCCTATTTCAGGGAATCCTTAGCGGTGCGCATCCACGACCCCGCTTTACGAGATTCGGAATTGGGGCCTATCAGTTTCGCGCGCGAGCGCCTAACCTCTGGACCACTGAGCCGGCACTTCTGAGGATTCCCACAATAGGACGAAACGGTCGTCCAGTGCTTTTAGGTTTTCCATGGTGGTCTAGCTTCAATTGATTTATGGTCTTAACTGTTAAAACCTCAATAGTTAATAATAATTAAAAATCTACACGAAAATTCCTATAAATTAAGGATATACATAAAATTAATAGTGACTTAATTAATTCAAAATGTATAAATGAATATAAATTAAATGTTTAATACGAATTTTATATTACAGAGATGAACATAGTATACTTTATTAATTGTAATGCTATATTTTAGTGAATGAATCATTCAAGTTAACTCATTTAAAATGTGACTAAGCAGTGCATTGGTTACGTAAGTCAAATGAATGACGCAATATTGTTGCTAAAACGAATATTGAATAATGTTGTTGCCTTTTTTGAAATATAATTCAAGTCAATGATAGTGAAGTTTGTCTTTTATTACTAATATTATTATTGCAACTCATAGTTATTCAGATCTATTTTGTCTAGTAACTTACTTGAGTCCGTGAACCGATCAATGTTAATCCACCATTGAGAACCGAAGACGATAAAGGACGGTCGCGCAATATCATGAATTGATTGAAGTTAATCATCAACACCGTTAGATAAAGACTTAGTGGTCTAGAAGATAAACATTCGCACGCGAGACTGAAGGTCCTGAGTTCTAATTCTGTATGTGAAATGATGGATACGCACTGCTAAGGCGTTCCATATTAGGAGTAAACGGCCGTCTATCATTACTAAGTTTTCAATTGTGCTCCAACATTGATCAATTCATAATCTCAAGTAATAATTTACAACAGAGGGACAATTTTATAATTGTTGAACAATGAACAAAATTATTGAAAATCACATTCTATTATACGGTTAATAATAAATTTCGTTTTTCGTTTATTCATCAGATCCTAATTGATTTTTAATTGAAATTGACGATCATGAAAAACCTTGAGTCAAATATTCATGCTTGAAAACTATCGAAGACTTATTTAATCGGTCAATTATAGATGAATAATTGAGAGTAAAAATATTAAATTGGAAAAACAGTTTAAACAAAACATTACAACCAAAGGATACTTCATTTAGTTAACGGAGTTCTTATCAACTTTATGATGAATATAACAAAGAGCAATTGTATAATCGCTCCTAGGTTCTATTTGGGTCTTTATTTGAAAGAGTTAGGTCACTAAGTTGAACCAAATCTAAAACCCCAATTAAAGAATAATGACGGACTGATATGCCCATTCTATAGCGCCACCTTTCACATTACAGTTCCATATAATTTCCTAAAGGTGATGAACAGTGGATGATGTGGATGTATTTGAATAGTTGTTAATATCCTTTAGACACTTTACATTAATTACAGTATAAACTTAGAACCAATCACTTAACTTATTAACATATCACGAAAGACCAACAATAGTAGAAGGACTATACAAAAGAACAGTCAATAAGCAGAGACGGATGGTGGCGAGCAGAGGAATTCAGGACGTGGGTTTCGTCCTATTCGTGACTCGTCAGCTGAGTGTACGTGGATCAATGGAAAATTCAAACAACCAATACAAAAATAAATAAAAATTTGATTGATTAAGATATTATTCCCACTTTTACGAAGATTAACCCGGTCATAGCCATCTATGTTTTTGTGAATATTGAGGGTAGGATGTTTTCTTTATTCCGTAAAATTGGTTGTTACCAAGACGGACCTAATCTGTAAAAATGTTTTTAAAACTTGCAATACTTAAGTATATATTTCTATGGTTCTTAAAGTGAAAACACACTTGGGAATCTCATAACTGAATAGTTAATTACCTGAAAAGGTTCTGTATCCAGTATGGAGTCTTTCTTCCCTAAATAAATGAAAACAGCTCCCTTATGTGTTCGTCCATCAGGATCAGTACAATAAGGACAACTGACAGCTAAATCTTCGGTTCCATCACCATCGATATCACCAATGTTTGTTAGGGCATGACCGAATCGACCTTTAGGGGATTTTGGTCCCTGTAAAATCACTGGATCTTGAGTGAAATAATCTGGTATTTCTGGTCTTTGCTTAGAGTCACTAAGTAAATTAGATAAATTTAAATGATTTCCGTAAAAGATATAAACTCTTCCAATATCCGGTAAAAGATTTGACCATTGACTACCTTCATTATGATTAAATTGTTTCGAATTTATTGTATCTTGTAATCCTTCCTGATTCTGGCGTCGAGTAAAATATGGTGCACCAACAATAATATCAACTAGACCATTTCCATCAAGATCTGCAACAGCAAGACTGAAAAAAAAATTAAATGTTTAACATTAAAACTCATCAACTCTTGATAAATTCATTCATAAGATGAAAGATTATGATCATTTTCAATAAATTCAGGTTGGCCTTTTTAGTCACTAGCGTTTTAATATAATATTTATGAGGTTGCAGTGACCAATATCAAGTCTGATTATTTGTGCATTTATCTTTGAAATCTTCCTATGCTTAATAAATTAATAAACATTTTAAAAATTTATGATTAAATCTATCTGACTTTGAGTTTGTTGCTTGTTTTTTCCAGACTGTATTCATTTAAGAGATAGAAATAAACACAATGATTAAGAAAACACATTCAGGAATTTGTTAATGGACAGACCACTAATAACCTAGATAGATGAGTATTGAATTGGAACAAAAAACGATATTTTTAGTATAGGGTTGACGAGATTTTTGAGTTTTAATTGAGACCGTGAACTAATCAGTGTTAGACCACAATTGAAAACCTGGGAGCACTGAACGACCGTTTCTTCCTAGTATAGGAATCCTCAGCAGTGCACATTCACGATCATGTGCTTACTGTGACTAAATCTGAGAGGTTATTTTCGGAGTTCCAGTAAGAAGCCGTGACCAGTAGAATTCAACCGTGTCGAGTATGAGGCAGTTACCCAACAAAGACAATGGAAAATCGATGCACAATATCACGGATTGATTGAAGTTTATCATTAACACCGTTAGATAACGGCTCAGTGGTCTAGAAGTTATGCGTTCACACATGAGACTGAAGGTCCTGAGTTCTGACTCTGTATTTAGAATGGTGGAGGTGTTCCATACTAGGACTAATCAACCGTCCATTACTTCCAGGTTTTCATTTGTGGTTGATTGCTACGTGATCTCAATCAAAACTCAATGATCTCCACAACCTTGTAATGACAAATAACCAGTATTTGATGAATTACATTCCTAATAGAATCGTCTTTCTGAGGATTCTTGACGTATGAAGGTACAGATGTTCAGTACTTCATAATTTTTAACAGTTTTTCAACAGATATAATTTATGTGATATGATCTATTTCTAAAATATGCAAACGTGTACATATAATCTAAATGAATTGTTTGATTTAGTTTAGTAAATTGCTGAATAGCAAAATGAGGATATTTCAATATGTTTATCCACACTTATGTTTGAAGGAGACAAATAGAAAGTCATAAATAGTTTACTCTTAGACACATCTGTTTCTTAGATAGCAATATTCACTATGAAATTTCATGGTACGATTATGTGATTAACTATTAAATTCCAACTTGAATTCGGTAATTATTTAATAAAATTAATGTCATTAGAATATTTTACGGATAATCTTATTTATCACATAGGAATTTCACTAAGGAAAAGTGTACAATATTTGTAAAAAAAGGCGCTTAAATATTGTTTAAATCACATAAAAATCAATTATAAATTCCTTTGAACTTTAATTAAAATTTATTATCAGTGTCTATATAATTTTACAGAAAACTTGAGATGATTAATTAATGTCTGTTGATTAGTCTTAGTATAGAACATCTCAGCAGTACGTATCCACCATTCTACATACAGAGTTAGAACTCATAAGCTTCAGTCTCATGTGTGAACGCATAACGTCTAGACCACTGAGCCGGTATCTAACAGTGTTAATGACTAACTTCAATCAATCCATGACATTGCGCGTCCACCTTCTATTGCCTTTGATGGATAACTGCCTCATACTCTACACGGATCAGCTCTGCTGATTATGGTCATGATCATACTGGGTATTTATAAGTTCGTTGTTATAATTTCATGTGTTACTTCCAGTCATATACTACTGGTTGAAATATTCTAAGCTTTTTAATGATCTAATTTAATGACCACATCATTAACTCATTATACTGATGTTCTGTAAAATGTGCACACAATAACAATCAATACATGACCTTTTAGCAATGATATAATAATTGTAACTAATATGTAGTAGATTCACTTGATATTAAGCATATAAATGTGTCTGATTAAAAAAACTCCAGACAATGAAAGAGGGGTTATTTTGATGAGATGGATAAAACAATTATGGAAGTGATAAAGATTTTGAAAATAAAACACCGACTTATCAACAATAAGTGTTATTACTTAAGATGATTAATTAATTAGTCTGAATTCTAACTAAATGTTTAATTAAATTAATCGGTGAAATAGATAAATGCATTAATATAAAACGTATGTATTCATTTAGCTTTACGTATTACTAGAAAATAACATAAATTAGTCATACAAGTAAAGTGCAGGAATTAACATTTTTTATAAGAGATATTTTAGTAAAACCTAGTTAATATTAATTAATAAAGAGAAATGTAGAAAATTTGACGAAAGTACATAATTAGGTGAATTACCATAGTTGAAATCATGAGTCATTTAAAGCTAGACCACCATAAAAAAATTGGAAGCACTGGACGGCCGTTTCCAGGACGTAAATCTTGAAGTCAGTCACTAGTGAGCATATGATTATAATCAGAAGTGGCTCTGTGGAGATTTCAGGAGTCCCACAATAGGGCGAAACGGTCGTCATGGTGGTCTAGCGTCAATTGACTCATGATTTCAACCATGAAATTCTGAAATCTCCACAAAACCCGCTTCTGATTAGGTGAATCACGTTGTTGTTTCAAAGTTTAGTATATGCTACTTTAGTAAGTAATTTATTCCAAGCCTTAAACTTCCTACTTCAAGCAGTGAACACTAGTTGAATTTAGTAAAAACTGATTAGTAAATATTATCCTGCATAACGTTGGCAATTAACTATTCTCAAAGGAAAAGAAGGTAGTATTCATTATTGAAGAGTATCATTCGTACACCCAGGGCAAATAGCATATCTTATTTGTCCAAGTTCGAAACACTTCGAGTTTAACAACCATCAACTTGAAATCAGAAATCGACTGACATTTTAAAATATTTAATGATTAGATTGAGCTTTGCTTGGTTCATGAACTGAAAACATTGAGTGGAGCATATCAGATAGACCATATTCATCAATTCATATTTCAATACTTTGCCATTAAATATGGTTCATTTAAGCTTCAAATAGTCTACGTCAGAAATTCAATAGGTTATTGTTTTAACGTTTAATGTAAAAGATGACCAAATTTAGATCGTTCAAAGTAACTATTATTAAAATAGAGCAATTTATTTCAAGTTTTCATCTCTTCTAAATATAATTATTATGAAACTGTGATGGTCATATTTGACTTTCTGACCAACCCACTAATAAGAATTGGGAGTTGTTACAAAATCAGGAGGTCTAGTATACGAAATCAAATTTAGACACGGAGATATTCAGATGAATATTGAAATAGAAAATGAATTATTAAAAATACCATAGACTTTCGTTTCTGATTGGCAAACTGTTAATCAGTCACACTGAAGCGTGTTTCATTGTATTTTTTAATGATTTTTAACACTTGATTGTCCATGATTTTATGTAGAAAGGCAGTTATACTAATTATACACCAGGATAGGCTAGATGCAAAGCTTTATCAACAATAAGGCTTGAATTGGTTTTTTACATATAGTAGGGATTTCACAATTGAACATTAATATACTAGATTTCGATTATGTGAGATTGGATTTTTGGTTACATAGTGAACAGACAAGAACATATTCTTATGCGCTAAGGTTTATCTTCAACCGCATCATTCATAGGCGTAAATTATTGATTTCAAGCTAAAAACAAGAGATTCAAACTCTGTTCCTTAGTTATTTCATACGTACACATTGATATGAATATTTATTACAGTAGTCAAATCAATTAAAAGAAGCCATTGGACATTGGAAGATGATGGCACGAAGTGACACCTAAACCCTAAAAGTCAGACACTTGCAGTTAATTTCAAAGGTCCTGAGTTTAAATCCCGTTGAGATCGTATTTGCTCAATGCTGAGCAGCATAGAAGGACTGGACAGCTGTCCTGTTCTTCTTGACTTTCATTGATCAAATAATTAGGGTTGATTTTTGATGTAAACTATGAAAATGCGACAATAATCAATGACTTTGAAATCAGTTAGTTGTAATTAAAATGAGAAATAACAAAAATAACGCAATTGATTTCCACTATTACATTACACATAAAAACTTAGTTTAAACGGAGCTCACAATTTTTTTATTAAAATTTTTAACTGACCGGTAAAATAGTTAAATTTTAAAACTTCTTAACAATATTGAAAGATGCACCAATAATGATGATAGAATATTTTGTTAATCATTATTAAATTCTCAGTATGGAGATTTGTGGAGATTGTAGTATTTTAACAATTGAGTTTACGAACCGATCTTAGCTAGACCATTAGCGTTTGCGTGCAAGACCGAAAGTCCTGGGTCAAGTCTCGCGTGTGGAATTGTGGATGTGCGCTGCTGAGGAGTTCCATACCAGGACGAAACAGCCGTTCAATGCTTCCAGACATTCAATGGTGGTCTAGCATAAATCGACTCATCAATTCAACTGTTATCATTTAGTTGTTTGAAAAGACTCATTATTTAAATTGTAAAGTATATTCTTCAAAATTTTAATTTCATCACTAAATGACATTAATTCAAAGCTTATTGTAATGATAGATAAATTGAAAATCATTAAACAATGTATTTCTTTGTATTGTTCACTCAGCACTAGTTTACTCATTAAAATTAATTTTGAATCGAATATTTATCATGAATTCTTTACATATAATCATACGGTAATTATTGGCTAAGTTAAGATTTATATTCATGGTGATAGTGTTAAATTGAACTGTATTGTAAAACGTAACGACAGTGTTATTCACTGCTCTATAAATTCCCAGTAATGTTGATTAGTAGTAAAAATTAACTTGGAATAAAGGAGTCTCACTTAAACCTTTATGTTAATAAAATTTATTATTTAACTCTTAATCAGCTTATTATTTAATGTAGTTATATATTATATACAAATAAAGTCAAAATCATGAGTCAATGGAAGCTAGACCACCATGGAAAACGTGGAAGCACTGGACGGCCATTTCATTCTACTATGAGGCTCCTTAGCAGTGTGCATCCACGATCCCACCTCGCGAGATTCGAACCCAGGACCTACCAGTCTCGTGCCAGAGCATTTAACCGCTTAGGAGTCCCGTAGTAGGACGAAACGGCCGTCCACTGTTTCCAGGTTTTCCATGGTGGTCTATCTTTATTTGACTAATGGTTTCAACTATGGAAATACTGAAATCTCCACAAAACCCCTTCCAAATAAAGTCAAGTTTGAACATTACCTCACGAAGAGAATTCTTTCATTTAGAGAACAAAAAACTGGCTCAAGATATACATTGTATTATTGAATGATTCAGATACAGTGAATAATATCTAAATGGATTTTATTACCTTAAATTTTATTTTCAAGGTCTTTTTATTATAAGATGCAATAATTCATGAAAGAAATAGTAGAATAATTACATGACTGATAATGTAGAATACCGATAGTGATCAGCTAATGTATGTTACTTCAGATTTGTATATTTGACCAGAACAATTAAAGTCAATTTTGAATTTTGAAAAAATAAGTTTCTACTTTTTTGGTATGATTAAAAATATATAAAATAAAATATTAAAATTTCTAATTTACTTACCTATATCCAAAATAACTTCCAACATGACTCCATTTATCTTTCAAATAAGTTATCTATTTTTAAATTATAAATAATATCGAAGATAAAACATTGTAATATAAGACTTTGTGATTTGATCATTTAAAGAATTAGCAAAAAAATGATTTTCTGAAAAAAACAACATTTACCCGAATCTCAAAAATTATCATAGAAGATTGACAAATGTAGGATAAATGTATAAATATTACTTAAATAGCACATGAAAAGTATAAACTCATGATTTCATCAAGATTAAAATTTTCTAGTTGTCTAGTGCAACAGTCAGCAACATCCTAATATGGGAGAGAACAAACTAACTTCCATATGAGGAGGGACTTGGGAAAGATACTGTAAGTAGATAGGACATACATTAGGGAAATCATCAAACTGCATCAGCGCTAATTTGGAACCCTTGAGGGAAATGGAAAAGAGGGAGGCCAAAGAACACACTGCGTCGGAAATTGGAAGAAGACATCAAAAGGATGAATATCAACTGGAAACAATTGAAAAGAATTACCTCTGACAGAGTTGGATAGAGAATGCTGGTAGGTGGCCTATGCTTCTTTCCGAGGGGTAACAGGCGCAAAGAAGTAGGTAAGTAAGTAATCCAACGGTATATTTTTAATATCGCATTTAGTATTTAGTAAAGTGACAATAAAACACTTTGTAGGTTGAAATGAATTCATTTAATCATCTCTTGAACTTTGATTCTTTCACAGACTCACAGAATTGTATAAATAAATGAAATGTTACACAAATACAATATTACGTGTGACATGCACGAAGTTCATGAAAAATAATTATGATTGTTTTCATATTCAAACAAGTTTAATTTATTGACGGATGAAATAGATAGGAGTCTATGTGATGTAATCGATAAATGGGCGAAATAATGGTAAACATCTACGTTTTATAGAAGCAACAATTATTCGTCATCTCAATTGTAGTCAATGTATACACCTGGCATCAGCGTATTTACAACAGTTCCCTTCCTTGATGTTTTAATTTATTTGTTCAATTTGTATTCCTAATAACAACTTCACCATACATTTCAGTCAAGTTTTCAATCTGATTTATGGTTACTATAGGTAGTTTTATTATTTTAAGATTATTTAATAAAATGTTTGATTCCATATCAATTTAGCCATTCGAATAAATTAGTTTTCTTGGACTATATTAATTACTATAGCCATTATCACCATTACTTTGTTAAAACGTTTATCAAGAGAACTACTTGTATGAAAAGAAGTAGTAAATGGTATGTATGTCTTATAATCATTTGGGACTAAATTTAAAATGCGTACTGATTTACTTTGGTGAACAAACTGAATTTCCCAAAGACTATTTTATTTAACAGGTTAAATATTTAAATAGTACAAATTTGATCATATTGAACATTGAATACAGTTAAGGATATCGAATGGAAGTCTAATGTGAAATAGTTCGTATATCAAATTGAAACTGAATACAGTACAATTTTGTAGTATTTTCAATGCCTAAACCTTGGAATTGAAGACCATTGTATCAGTGAATAAAAATAAAGAGAATTTAAGCGAATAAAATTTTCCTTTCGAAGAGATCATTTACTTAAGCTGTACATTCGTATTTATAGTTATGTGCTTATTATATGTCTATAGAAGGATAGAAGAGATTGCATCATAAATTGATTCGAGACTTATTGTCATATGAGGCTACCCAATAATCAAGGGGTACGAGAAGATATATCACCTGAGTCTCAAATCATAATGCAATCTTTTCCATCATTCTATAGACATATATTTACCACATAATTATAAATACGAATGTACAGCTTAAGTAAATGATTTTGTCCAAAAGAAACTTTTCTTCGCTTGAATTCTCTTTATTTGAAGACCATTAAATTGACATACAATGACAAATAGATTTCTTAATCATAAGATAAATTAATCAAAACACAGCGAAAATATTTACATATGGTACTAACAGTCAAGATGTTGTCTCTTTCCTAGTATTTATTTGTTTGTTTTTGAATTTCCTGTCTACCAAAATAAACAGGACTCTAAATCAGGCCATTATTGTTTGAATTCGTAATGATATTACTATCGACATTATTGTTATTACTGATTACTGATAATATTATTTCATGTATTTAAGCACCTCATATAGGTTAATCAGAATTGAAAATCTAACTTTTGGATGTAACAAGTCTAGTATTTAAAGAAAATGCAGACTGAATAGTTTGAAATTCATTGTTAGAATTAATTGACCAATGAAAGTTATGTTGCATCGGATATCTGTTTCATTCTATTCAGAAATTTTGGTATCGACAGTTAACATCCAAGACTCCGCCAAAAACTGGGTAGGACAAATTACCTTCAGAATACAAATTTGGAATCAAAAGATTTCTTTACAATTTCAGTCATAACATAATATATTATAAATGATGTCGAATTTAATCAGTTTTATTTTCATTCCGCTATAAAAAATAAAACTTTTGAATAGAATAGATACAGCAAGTTTTTCAGTGTATGTTTTAAGAATTACGTGCATTCATTTAAGTAGGTTACACAAACCAATCCAACTCTGTCTCATCAATTTTACTGTTCAACATAGAATAATCTGACTTTTAATTGGTCTATGTTATAAACTCATTAATTGGAGGAGGATTTATATGTTACGGTACATTAGATACTTTTTCATTACTATAGAAACGTTCAATGGAAACATTCTACAACTAATACTGAATTGTTACTTAACGGAACTACCTTGTATAAAATAAATTTGTCCTTCTTTATATCAAACATGAGGGAAACTATCTTTTAGATGTTAGCTATCGACAAGCAAAAAATTTGAAATTTGGGTAAATAATAAGTTTATACAGATGGCAAAAAGTTAAGACTACTAAAGAAATCTGAAAGTAGAATGTAAAACTCCCTGATACTTCTGAAAAACCAGTAAACATATATTTTTACATCAATAAGTAAAAACCAATAATAATATGAGAAAATAAATTCAGAATATTGAATACTTACTCCGCCTAAATCCATAGCTTGATTCAATATCATAATAATTCCACGATAGTCATTATCAATCCACATTGGACTTGATGTAATGACGTTGATGTTTGACTGAAAATGCTGTCGATCATCTGATTGTAAATGTTTATGTTGTTCACCAAGTTTATTATCATTATTATTTAATTTGGCTAAAGCAATAGCATATCCTAAACCGAAACCCTTATGCTTCAAATCATGTGATGAACTTTTCAATCGGATTGCATTGATTAATTCACGACCACGATAACGGCCTAGAAAGATATTTCCCTCAGTTAAATAACTTCCAGGCATTCCTAATGCAACTAATGCTTCACCGGATTGGTTACCTATTCGGTAAGGAATGTCAAAAATGAAAGCAAACTAATGGGTTAAATTAATTTTACAATTGAAGTGAATATCTTTTCAAAGAAACTATGGGATGTTCTGCAGGTTTTGCCATTGAATGTTAGTCTTTATTTAGGACTGAGATCATGTGATGAACTGTTGTAAGTAGCACTGAACCGATAATGTATTAGTAAATCAACATAAATCAGTAACATATGTTTCTTAAAGGTTCACTACCTCCTAGAAATATGTAAATTATTTATTGCCGACTTAATTGCTTGAAGATTAGGCTGTCTCTGTGTTACCTAGGTTTGATCTCTGATAGGTTCGTAGTTGGGTACTGCTGAGGAGCTACATACTTAGACGAAACAACTGTCTAATGCGTCCTAGTCTTTAGTGGTTAACTAGCTAAGATCAGTCCTCGAAGTAGTCTAAGAAAGTAGAAGCGTCTACGTTGTTTTAAAAGATCAAGCAAAGTATTTCAAAGTATGTAGCCACCATTTAGGCATTCAAATATATGTTGAATAATAATTTCACAGAACTCAATCTTCTATGGATAACTCGTAAATAAAAAAATATTTACAGCATTCCTATTTTATGTATTTTGATTAGCAGACATTTATGTTGAATTTCGAAACTATTTCACGTGAATTATGCTATGAAAAATGTATGGCCTTTTGTTAGTCGCCTACAAACATCTATATGCATAAATGCTTTTAGAGAGTCACATGTTCCTTTTTGAAAATTTTGTCCAACTGAAATTAGGCAATCTACCTAGGTGGTTTAGGCAAACATCGAAAAAAGCCTAAAATGAAAATTAACATTCAGTGAGAAACGACTAAAAACTATAGAGTACAAAACATCTGTATCGTTATATTGTAGTCTATTCAGTGGCATATGCCTACATCCCTTCAGAAATTCAACTCATGACATTCTCGTCTCAGAATCCACAAGACATCTTAAACACAGCTGACTCAGTAGAAAAATGTTAACATTATTTAATTTTAGCCAGTTTAATGACTCAAAGAAAACTAAACTAATTATCAGCCGTGAGTTCTTGGCTCTCTTCTATGTAAAACTAACTCTTAAACAAGTATATCATATTTAGAATGATTATTCTCGAATTTTATATTAGATATCTTAAAATATAGTGTGCTTGGGATTTAAACAAAAGATAAGTAAAGCACTCACCTGCTTGTACATGTGCACTGAATCCAGCAAGACATGCACCTTCTTCTTGACTATTACAAGGATCTACAGAAACATATTGCATAGATGTTCCTGTATATAAAGCACAATTTCCGATCCCAAGCGAACTTTTTGATTTAACTGATGATTTGCATTGATTAACCGAATTAACTGTTAAATCATTAGGAATTTCATTCATTAAGTCAGAATTCAATAAATAACGAAAATCACAACCAAGTTGTATTCCATCAACAGCGTTGTTCGCAGCTGCCACAGTCCCACCTAACCAATGAGATACTGAAATATTAACAACAACAAAATATTATTTAAACTCCAGATTGAGGATTTACCATACAGAAATTAATTTACAAATGTTTTTGAAATTTAAAATTCTATTTGACATAAAGTTTTATTAACATATTTGACTTACACAGTTGAGTCCACGAGTCGATCTATGCTAGATAACCGATGAAAGCATTGAAGGACTGAGCAGCCATTTCATCCTACTATGGGACTCTTATGTAGTGCTCGTCGACGATCCCGCATGCGTGATCGCGCGCGAGACTTAGAGCCTTGGGTTCGAGTCCCGCATGTTGAATCGTAGATCCTTACTTCCAAGGAGTCCCATATTAGAACGAAATGTATGTCCAGTGCTTTCGGGTTTCCAATGTTGGTCTAGCTTAGATTGACTTGCGAATACAAATTTGAGAATACTGCAATCTCCACAAATCCCCTAAATCGATATTTGATTTAACTGGAATCAATTATTAATGTGATTTCTTGTATAGAATACAAATTGTTTTATTTTAGGCATAAATTTGACCAGTTTATAACCCTCTCAAAAATGTGTACTGGCTCAGAACATTAAACTCACCTAAATGATCTCCGTAACTATTAGTGTTCTATCATTTTAATACTACTGATATAAATTAAGTTAGGCACATATCAGTGATGATGTATCGTTATGTAGTTTAAAAAAGTCGTTGTCTATAAGACCCAATTTATTAACATTATTTGATATAGTATATCAATCTGAGAAATACATTAATCATCAGAATTACAACTGGATACTGCTGAACAATCAAAGATATTTCAGTTTATTTTAAAAAGCGATATCTCTGAATAGAAAACAATGATATATACGAACATTCGTCAATATTAGAACGAATAGTTTGACAGAAAGTAGGCGCCGAATATAAAGAAGACATTATTTGTGAAAATTATGTTTGGAATAATCTCAGCGATTGAAATTTAGATAATTCCAACGTTTAGTTCAGCAAACGTTTCCAAAATTCTCCAGGGTAATGATCAAAACTAAAATCACCAAAGAAATATGTAATGTTTAACAATGAAATCAAACCTTCAATGCGCTTATCCAGTCGTATTCAGAATGTTGACTTAAGTATGTAGGATAACATGAGTTCAGACAGGTTTGTTAGACTGGACGTTGGAATTATTGAAACCTTAATCTCTGAGATTATCTCAAACATTAGTATGTTATTGATAATCTTGATCCCACTTGAATATTTACGTTAGAATGTAGATACAGAAAATGTTAAGTACTATGAGTAGTCATAAAAACAAAAACAAATATACAATAACACTAAAGGGAACTACTTGACAAAAGGATAAATAACTGATACAACGCATAAATAACAAAATTTAAAGCGTTACATTACAAAATGTAAATGGATATGACATTTATGAGGGGTGTTATGTTCTCATTCGCATCCTAAACTGCAAATATTCTTCAGCACTTCAAATTGTAACAATGTTGAAACTTAAATAATTTTTGGCTCTCTTTTACTCTTTATTTAAGTGATTTTGATTAGCTTACTTTGGAATTATAAAATATGAAGTGAATAATAACAATTAGGTGAATGAACAAAATAAAAAAAGCAAATACTCAATGAAAGAATTAATGACTTTAACAAAGACGGTTCTTGAAGACGAAATCATTTACTGAGACTGTACAACCTTATTTATATTAATTTAACATAAAGAGTAGTGTGATGGAAAATATAGTAAGATTGTATCATAAAGTATTAGATAAAACGTGAACTTTTTCTAAATGAATCTTCGAATATTATTCTGTGTGATTGTCAAACAGAATATGCAACAGCTTAGTTATTGTACACCCTGTAAATCCCGATGATATTGTCTCACGATGATAATCTTTCAAAGCGATCTATACGATCATTCTAACTAGCTCAAATATGGTACAAGTGAAAAACTTTAGCGCACTGAAGAGGATTTCAGCAATCCATTGACTGTAACTCAGACTCTGTATATAAAGGCAATATATATAAAGGCAATATTTAATCGCTCAGCTTATGTTCATCCTGAACCCCTTTCTTTTCTTCTATTCTGATCAATCAGTTTTCATTAATTCCTTTTAATTTTCTCTAATAGTTTGTTCAATTAATTGTTCAGTTAATATTTTGTTTAAATTCATTAGGTGGAAAATCACTTGAATACTTTTCGATAAAATAAATTATTTTCGGTATTATGACGTGTTTTCACTCGATTCTTTAATATACTGCTAGATAAACACAATTTTACAGCTACAACAAACGGTTTCATTGAAAAAACTATTTTCTTGACTGAACAGCCTTTATGCAAACTAAGTGTTGATATTGCCAATAAAAAAGATTAACAACCAGTGTGATGGACACTCAGAAATATGATATTTCAACAATTACTTTTCACTGAATTATACTTTCAGATACCAAAGAAAGGAGATCTCAGCAAGTGTGATAACTACAGTGGCATCACTCTTCTCTCAATACCAGCAAAAGTCTTCAACAGAGTATTGTTAAACAGGATGAAGGATTCCGTAGGCGCCCAACTTCGAGATCAACAGGCTGGATTTCGTAAGGATCGATCGTGTACAGACCAAATTGCAACTCTACAGATCATTGTGGAACAGTCAATTGAATGGAATTCATCACTCTACATCAACTTCATTGACTACGCGAAAGCATTCGATAGCGTGGACAGGACAACACTATGGAGGCTTCTTCGACACTATGGCGTGCCTGAGAAGATAGTCAATATCATACGGAACTCCTATGATGGACTAAACTGCCAAATCGTCCACGGAGGACAACTCACCGAGTCGTTTAAAGTAAAGACCGATGTTAGGCAAGGTTACTTACTCTCACCCTTTATCTTTCTCCTGGTCATCGACTGGATCATGAAGACGTCAACATCTGGAGGAACGCACGGGATACAGTGGACAGGCAGGATGCAGCTGGACGATTTAGACTTCGCAGATGATCTGGCTCTTCTATCACAAACGCAACAACAAATGCAAGAGAAAACGATCAATGTAGCAGCAGCCTCAGTAGCACTAGGTCTCAATATAAACAAAGGGAAAAGCAAGACTCTCCAATACAATACAACATGCACCAATCGAATTACGCTTGACGGAGAAGCTTCGGAGGATGTGAAAACCTTTACATATCTGAGCGGCATCATTGAAGAACGCGGTGGATCTGATGAAGATGTGAGGGTGAGGATCGGCAAAGCAAGAGCTGCATATTTACAACTGAAGAACACCTGGAACTCAAAACAATTGTCAACGAACATCAAGATCAGAATTTTCAATACCAATGTCAAGACAGTTCTACTGTATGGGGCGGGAAGTGGAGAACTACGAAAGCCATCATCCAGAAGATACAGGTGTTTGTTAACAGTTGTCTACGCAAGATACTTCGGATCTGTTGGCCAGACACCATCAGCAATAAGTTACTGTGGGAGACAACAAACCAGATTCCAGCGGAGGAAGAAGTCAGGAAGAGGCGCTGGAAGTGGATAGGACACACATTTAGGAAAGCATCCAACTGCGTCACAAAGGAGAAGAGGAAGACCAAAGAACACATTTCGCCGAGAAATGGAGACAGACATGAAAAGAATGAACAAAAGTTGGATAGAACTAGAAGAGAAGGCCCAGGACAGAGTGGGTTGGAGAATGCTGGTCGGCGGCCCATGGTCCATTGGGGGTAACAGGTGTAAGTAAGTAAGAACTATACTTAGTTGAAGTCGAACATAATTGATTTTATTATGACATAGATGGTTTTTTGTATTAACTAATAATGGTTAACTGATTTGTTTTTGACAGAAACAAAAGAATAAACCACAGTAAACTAGAAAACATTTCTAAAATTTATATATGCTAGTTTTCATTACTTATCTAATGCATTGAGTAGTAGTGTAAAGCAATTGTGGACACTGCTGAATTTCATAGTTTAGATGCCACAATTCGATTAAAATTAAATAAATTAATCCCACAGTGCAAACTCAGCCATTTAAGGATGAGGCGTTGGTCACATGACTTATCATTTCTGTATCCGATTCCCAGTGGGTTGTTGATGCCCACTCCTAAAGTGTCTTGTAACAAGGATAAAACCGTTGACCGTTTCTCCTTGATTGTTTATGGTTGTCTAAATAAAGTAATCTCGTATTGTAAACCATAACATTGGGCAATAATAGTGTGATTACATCACTAAAATAAAATGTTAAAATATTTAACAGCCTTGGATAAATATTTCTCTTCACTAAGCAAAACAATCACAAAACTCTATAACTGGATAAAACTTTGTAGCTTGTAATCTCTTATCCTTAAATTGTATTTAGACTGCAATAATCACAATTTAAATGGGCATAAGACAAAATAGCATGGTTTATAGTTTATTTTGAAGATTTGTAACAGTAAGAACAAAGTTTTTTTTAATAATTGACATTTCATTTTCAAAACTCACATTAGTAACATTCCGTTAAAGCTTTCAGCAATAAGTAGTGAGTCAGTTATATAAATAACGGTCATCTTGTATGTCGGATAAGTCATTTCAGAAAACCTTTTTTTAACATTTTACCGATAGGAACAACACATCATTCTATTCCTTCTATTGATTAATTAAGTAATGATAATCATTTTACATTTGTTTAAACTAAATATTGGACATAGTTAATATTAATTGAATATACATGTAAGTAATGAATGATTTGGCGCATAATTGTATACTGCTTATTTCAAATCAAAACAAAAACAAATATACTAATCATAACTAATAAGACAATAAGATCCTACCCTGGAGTTCAAGAAAATCTTGTATAAGTGTAGTAAAATCATTGAAAAAAACAAAAAAAAAACAACACCGTTTAATTTAAATTAATATTTAACAGATTATTGGTGTACAATGAAACGTGAATCATTTTGTTGTTCAATTTGAATTTGTTCAATTCATATTATAATAAACACATTGTGTCATGTTTTATTGGAACAAATAGACGAA